AGGAATTGGTCGATTTGTTCTAAGCTTCGCACTTATGCATGTCAAGTTGTTGATATCATTGTTTTATATCTTTTAAATGGCTATTGGGCCTGTACTGACATCTCCTGTTTCATTTTTATTTCCTTCTTCCTGTTTAGCATTATACATTTTTGTTTCCCTTTTGGTACTGTATAAGATATGCTGTAATCTCTGTTTTTTTGACATTTTGATATGTTGTATTTTAATTTCCCTTCAGTTCTGTGTATTTTTAAAATTTCTTTAGAGACTTCCTCTTTCACCTATGGGATTATTTAGAAGTGTGTTGTCTAATCTCCAAGTGTTTAAGGATTTTCCTTTTGTCTTTGTTTTTGATTTCTCGTTTGACTCCATTGTGGTTAGATAAAACGCTCTAAGATTTTAATTCCCTTAAGTTTTTTGTTGTTGTTTTTTAATTTTTATTTATTTGATAGTACAGAGAGAGAGAGAGAGAGAGAGAGATTGGCAGAGACATAGGCAGAGGAAGAAGCAAGCTCCATGCACCGGGAGCCCGACGTGGGATTCGATCCGGGTCTCCAGAATCGCGCCCTGGGCCAAAGGCAGGCGCTAAACCGCTGCGCCACCCAGGGATCCCTGTTGTTTGTTTTATGGCCCAGGATATGGTCTATCTTGGTGAGCAATCCAGGGACACATGAAAAAATTGTGTTCTGCTATTGTTGGATGGATTTTTCCATATATGTCAATTAAATCCTGTTGGTTGATGGTGGTGTTTGGATCTTCTGTATCCTTGCTGATTTACTGGGTAGCAGTTCTTGAGTTTCTGAGACAGATTTTGAAGTCCTCAACTATAATTGTGCATTTGTATACTTTTCCTTTCAGCTTCATCAGTTTTTGCTTCATGTTTTTGGAGGCTTTGTTGTTTGGCGTGTATACATACAGGATTGTTATGTCTTCCTCCCGAATGGGTCCTTTCATCATTTCATAATTTTCTTCTTTGTTTCTAGTAATTTTTCTGTATTAGATATTAACAGGGCCACACCTACTTTCTAAAATTAGTGTATGCATTGTGTATCTTGTTCTATCATTTTATTTTCAACCTACCTCTGTCCTTGAATTTGAAGTGAGACTTTTTTTGTAAATAGCTAGAGTTGTTTAAATCCCCTCTGCCAATCTCTGTCCTGCTTGAGGCAGTCAGACCATTCACATTAGGGCAATTATTGGTATGTTAGGGATTAAATCTGCCACTTTGTGATTTGCTTTATGTTTGTTTCCTATGATTCCTCTGTTTCTCTTTTTTTGGGTCTTCTCATGGGTTATGGTTTACTTGAACACTGTTTAGGATTCCATATTGATTTATCATGTTTGAGAGTATATCTCTTTGTACAAATTTCATAGTGGTTGCCCTGGACATTAAAGAACACTTGTATATCTTATCAAAGTCTGCTAGTATCCATGTTTTACCACTCTGAGTGAAGTGTTGAAACCCTGCCTGTTTCCAGTTGCTGTCAGGCCTGTTGAGTGTGTGAAAAGAGCCTCTCCCACCTCCCTTGGAATCTTCAATAACATATTTGGCACTGCAGATCCTCCCTCTATTCCTTCTCCCCATACTTTGTGAAATTTCTGTCTTCCAAAACTAGGTTGGAAGTTATTAATTTACTTATTAATGGCCCACCTCTCTTTTTGCTTCTGCCTTATGTTTTTTTTTTTCATTTTGAATTTACAAGCTTCAATTTCAATGATGTCTTCAGAAAAACAAGAGGTGAAGGATTAAAGGAATAGAAGGCTCCAAGGGCTCTTTTAAAGACATACAGTAGGAAGAGCTTGGACTTTGGCTCTGGGCATACCTGGCAAATCAAGAGCTAGCACTGCTCACTTGCTTACTGCGTGGTCTGTCTTTGGGAGGCCTTATCCACCCCATAAAGCTGCCACATCCAACATCATTAAATGCAGTTTATGTATAATGACATGAGTTATATATAGCATACATAACTACTATAAAACACGTTCACTAGTTGACATAATGCTACACATTGTAAGACATTTCATTAATAAGATATTTTTTTTGCAGTTTCACTTAAGTATTTCAGAGCTCCCAATAGTTTCCCATGCCTCAAACATTTTTTACAGGTCCTGGAAAAGCCCAAAGGCCCTGCATTCTGGGCTGATGATGAGTGAAACAGCCCTGCAGTGTTCTTGGGGTGATGGTGGGGGCCGGGGTCATGGAGAGAAGTGTCATCTGAGGTGCTTGCTACAGCAGAGGCAGGACATTGTTCACAGAGATCAGTTTGCTGAGCAGCCTTCAGCAGGGCTGATCCCTCAGAAGCTGCAGCAACTGGCTGGTAAACAGGGTACAGAGGAAAGGCCTCTGGGGGACCAGCAGGTGAAACCCTGCCTCTGTTGCCCTCTGGCTGTGTGACTTCAGTCAAGTTATTGCCCAATCTGAGCTTCAAATACTCTAAGGTCCTTTTATCGCTAAAACCACTAGGGTCGGGATCCCTGGGTGGCGCAGCGGTTTGGCGCCTGCCTTTGGCCCAGGGCGTGATCCTGGAGACCCGGGATCGAATCCCACGTCAGGCTCCTGGTATATGGAGCCTGCTTCTCCCTCTGCCTGTGTCTCTGCCTCTCTCTCTCTCACTGTGTGCCTATCATAAAAAAAAAAAATGTGCTTGCTTCTGTACTCTTTAAAAAAAAATGGCCATGAGATTCTGGATGTTGGTTGCTGCCCCTTGTTTAACTCTTTTTCTCAGATATGAGTGGTTGCATGTATTCTCCTCACTGATGTTGAGGCCATGAGGAAACCCAAGCCACCGTGCAGGAGTGGGGGATACTTGCCCTGGAGGTGCCTTTATCTTACTGGCAGAGGGAAGGGATGAGGGGAGATAAGGTGCTGAATTATAGAGACTGAGGCCCACACGCCTTATTTCATTCATCTCCCCTGTGCAATTCCTGAACCGCTAAAGCCTTAAACCTCCAGGCTGGCCTGATGCTTGGTGACAGGAGTGAGGGAAACTGAGATATTCCTCGGGGGAAGGGAAAAGAGAGGCCAGCTGGAACCTGCCCAGCCTCCCACCGAGGTGCCTGCAAAGAGCGGGCACCATCGGCAAGTCTTCCTGAGACCCAGCAGGGCAGCCAAGGTAGGCCTAGAAGCTTCTGCCTGTGTGTGTTCTGGGCTGGCCTGGTCGGGGTTTGGAAGGGCTGGTGTGGGAGGACCGTGCCCAAGAAGATGGGGCCTCTCTGGGAATGTAGCCAGGCTGCCAGCACTCTGCCCAGGAGAAAGGCCAGGCCAGCCCCGGAGCCACAGGCCAGAGCCTGGGGTGTCAGGTCGCCGTGGCCTGGTGCCCCTGCCCGCAAGGATGGGTCCAAGCCAGGAATTAGTTCTCTTCTGAAAGTGAAGAGAACTCTCTTCTAGGTGTGGGGTCAGGATGGGACAGGGCAAGACTATTACCCTTGTTATTGTTATATTATTGCTAGTATTGGGGACACACCGTGAGCTTCTTTGTGGTGGGCATTGAACTTTTTTAAAAGATTTTATTTATTTATTCCTGAGAGACACACAGAGAGAGGCAGAGACACAGGCAGAGGGAGAAGCAGGCTCCCTGCAGGGACCCGAGGCGGGACTTGATTCTGGCACCCTGGGGTCATGCCCTGGGTCGAAGGCAGACGCTCACCTGCCGAGCCCCCGGCGTCTTGTGGGCACTGGACATTAAATGTGAATGACTGGCAAAGTCCCTCTCTTCGAGGCTCACATTCCAGGGGGAGACAGACATCCCCTCCCCTAATACACAGAGAAGTACAAAATGTAGTAACTTCCCTGAAGAGAAAAACCACAAGATGGAGAGAAAACAATGATGGTGGAGTTAAGTTAGACATTGGAAGAGGAAATGAGGGGCACGCGGGTGGCTCAGTTGGTTAACGTGTCCGACTCTTGATTTGGTCATGATCTTGGGGTCTCAGGATCACCCTGGGTCGGGCTCCAGGTCAGTGGGGAGTCTGCTTGGGGTTCTCGCCCTCTGCCCTGCCCTCACTCATGCACGAGCGTGCCCTCTCTCTTTTTCAAAATAAATAAATAAATCGAAAGAAAGAAAGAAAGAAAGAAAGAAAGAAAGAAAGAAAGAAAGAAAGAAAGAGCAGTGAGGAATGTCTCTGTGGAGGAATGAGGCAGAGGAAGAGAGACTCAGAGGAGTGAAGTCACTCACCCCAGGTCACCTGCTGGGCACAGCGGGGGGAGGGGGCACTGGGCTGTCCCTCTGCGCTTTGTCCTCCTTATAATGTGTAGCCTCTGGGCCCAAGGTCTGAGCTGGGGCAGAGACCACGGCAGCAGAGCAAGCGGCCCAGTGAAGGTTAAGGGCCCCACGCGGGCCTCCTGCTCAGCCTTTGAAGGAGTAACTCTGAGCCCGGCGTCCTGTCTGCGTCCCTGCTGCCCCGACTTTTCCTGGCTCCACCCACGGGGCTCCCAAGTCAGCCCTGTTTTTCACGACACGGTGACAGAGGAGAGGGCAGGTGGTGCAGGAGGACTTGAGAGCACCCAGGATTCCGTGAAGGAGGAGACTGAACAGCGTGGCCGGTGATTTGCCCAAGGTCACACCGCTGGGCTGCGGGCGCCCGGGGCCCAGGGCTCGTGCATCGCTGTGCCCACCTCCCCTCTCAGCGGACTCGCAGGAACCCGGAAGGCTGCTTCACTGGTGGCGTGGCTTCTTGGGACGTGGGCGTGAGGGACGTGTGTGGCCTGCGCCAGTGGACTAGCACACGCCTGGCCCGTGGCAAGGCCTCCGGGCGTGGCTGCTGACCTGCCTTCACCACCTGGTTGGGCCACGAAGTGGGCACTCAGGGCCCTGCGCGGGGCTGGCATCTGTGGCCGTTTGCTGTGGCGGCGTGTGCCCCTTCTTACCTGCTTGCACTCTACACCTGCCACGCACGTGCACATGCACGCACACGCACACACATACAGGCACACACGCACATACGCTTTTGGGTTTAGTGAGAAACATCGCCCACCTGATACTATTTGTCGGCCTCTTTCTTTCTCGTGCTTTAGGAGGAGGCGTCCCCGCGAGCCCCCAGCTGCGATCTCCCACGCAGTGCCGCCTCTGGCCCACTGTGGACGAAGGGCGATCCGTGACTCAGGACTCTGCTCGCTTGATAACTCAATTCAGTGGCCGGGCCCCATTTGTAAGCAGTGATAGCACACTCTGCGGAAACCCGGAATCCAATTATGCCGAGGCTTGCATCATTTCTTAGCCCTCACTGCCTTCCTCGGCCCCCGGCCATCCGTCTTGCTGGCTGAAGGCTCCCGAAGGTCTGCAGGGCAAGCTTCTGACCCCCCGGCAGGGGCCTGGCTGCTCCCTTCATCCCCACAGGAGCCTCAGGTATTGGAACCAAAGCTTGAGGGGACAGGCGCTTCTCGCTCCCTGGGACTGGGACACTCAGGGCCGCCCCAGGTTGTCAGCGATCAGGGGCTCTTCATTATCCCCATCCCATACCAGCGGGGTCCTGGGCACTTGCAAAGGCCGCCCACCAGAGAGCCATTTGCGCGAGGCTGTGTGGATCACTTACTGGCAGCGAATGTTAAAGCAGAGACTTAGAAAGTCAGACATGAGGGTTTCAGCAACACAGAAAGCAGACCCCAAAGAGTTTTATCAGTTACACTCACACAAAAATGCAAATGTGCTATTAGATAAGGGCAGTGCGACTTGGCATCAGGCCATAACCAGAAATTTCTAGATTTTTCTGAGATTCACACTCACTTCCAAATTCTGGACAAATGAGGATTTTTTTTTCTTGGAAATTTCTGATGGCCTATATTTGTTGCATGGGCTCAGCCTCCTCATTCTATGAGAACTCACTTGTTCCTCTGCACCCCCTCCCCCACCTGCCACTCCCCAGTTCAGCCTCCTTATTTAATAAACTATTTAGATAAGGGATGTCTTTCAACTTGCATGTCAGCTCTAATAGATTGGTAGCGGCTGCTCTAAAAACCGGGTCTAGAAGGATCCTGACCTAACTGAGCACAGAGGGGAAGAATGCCATGTTCAATTAGCAAAGCCTTCCATGTGTGCCAGAGGGGGAGAAGTGGCATGTGTGTCATATCATTTGCTATCTTTGCACTGAACCATTCTAAGCTCTGAGAGGGGCCTTGTTTAATAAGATAAATAGGCCAGGTCCTCAGCTTGTCACGCCGTAGCAGGGATGATGAACTGGCAAGTGTCCCAGATCAATGGATGGGGCCCTGGTGGAGGCAGATATGAGTATCACTATGCCAGCCTGTTGAAGCACTTGGACTTTGGAGCTGGATGTTCCTCAATACACATCCTGCTTCTGACGCTTAACTGCTGGGTGGCAGTGGACTAGTTATCTAACTGCTCTGAGCCACTGTATCTTCAAATGTAAAACGAAGATAATACATAGCTCACAAGGTCATTGTGGTCATTAAATGATATCAGATGTTGAAGCCTTAGATGTTTACCTTATAATAATGGTTACTCTTATAATTACCATGGGTGGGGAAACACACGTAGGTCTCTAAATTTTGTCTTGAATACAGAAAAGTCTCCATAGAGGGGCCTTGTTTTGAAAAGGCAAACACGTGGTATATAGACAGCCTTCAGCAGAAGACAGAAACCATTCAAAACAGAGGAGGACATTCTGTTCCTCGGTTAAGGAAACCTGAAATGTGGGATAGAAAAAAAATATTAGGGTCAAAATTCAGAACAACTTTCCTGAAACAAAAGTAGACTTGAATTTATTGGCTGAAAGGAAAATTGATACAGAGTGATCAACACTGAAACAGATGCTAATAAATGAATATTTGACTTCAAAGAAAAAAATTCCAAGACTATGCAGTGAAAAACCATTCCTCCAAGAGCCAGCTAAAAAAAGAACCCCAAAACCTAAATCAAAAAAACAATAACACAAAAACTCAGACCAAGAAAAGCACTTCAACAGCGGAAGAATAATGACCTCTGAAAATATACAATCTCAAAAAACAAGGAGAACACTAGTGAAAATGGTCAAAATTAACTTTCTCAGAGCTCTGGAAATTAGCCAAAAGGTTGCAACATTCTGAGTATAATTTATTCAAGAAAAATGGATGAGTTGTGGTAAGAATAGCCAAATTTTGTTGTGTCTTAACTTGCCTTACTCCCATCCTCCTTTCAAGGCCCATGGTGCATTTGCAGACCAAAATTCTCACAGCTATGGCAGGGAAAACCAGCAGCCTGGCAGTCACTGGAGAGGACAGAATGGGTTTGGAGCTTTCCAAAAAAAACCCATTCCCAGAGAATTATCACTATTTGATCTGACAGTTCCCTGAAAAAGCACCCTTCTTAGGGATTATCTTTATTTGACATGGCTCAGTGCTTGCTCTGTGCAAACAGCCATATCCTGAGGGCATTTGTCAAAAACAATCAGCAGCCTGGGGTAGCAATACCAGCTGGGGCTAACAAGAGGCTGATCAAAACTCCTGAAGGGAAGAACTGGGGAATGAAATATTCATAGGGACTTGGAAAAGCACTGGCATATTCCTGGAATTCCAGAAGGCCACATGCATGTGTTGGGTTGTATATACACCCAAGAAAGACCTGTGCAGGGCTTACACTATGATTGACCTTGAGGCTCTCAGCAAGCAGGAAGTAAACACTGAGAGTTGTAAGTTGCTTGCTGGCCTGTTGAAAACATAGCTTCACACACACACACACACACATTTCATAGCAAAAGTAGGAGGACTTAGTGGTTCAGGTACTAAAAGAAGTCTCTGTCTAATCAGTAGATGACCACTAAACTAACCAGGAGGAAACATCAGTAGCCATATGTGACAAAGAATATTGAATTTAGATAATTAGTCCAGAAAAACCACTAAACAAACAAACAAACAAGCAAACAGAAAAGGCATCAGTACGACAATAAGAAAAAGAACCCCGGAAGAAGTTTGTTGTCCAGAGTTGCCACATTATATTATTTAAAAATGCCAATTTAAAAAAAAAAAAACAAAAAAATAAAAATAAAAATAAAAATGCCAATTTTCAAGAAAAAAATATGAAAGATGCAAAGAAATAATAACAAATGGCCTATTCAAAGGGAGAAAAAAAGTATTCATTAGAAACCGCCACTGGGGAAACCCAGACATTCAAATTACTGTTAAAGACTTTTGATCACCTGTTATAAACATCTTTAAAGAACGAAAATAAATTATGTCTAAAGAATTAAAGAAAAGTATGATGATATCTCACCAAACAGAGAAATAATAAAGAGATAGAAATTATAGAAAAGAGCTAACTAGAAATTCTGGTTTTGAAAAGTACAATAACTGAAATGAAAAATATATTAGATGGGCTCCAAAGAGATTTAAGCAGGCAGAGGACAGAATTAGTGAAGAGAAGTCATTTGAAGATAGATCAGTTGAGATTATACAGCCCGAGGAACAGAATAAAGAAAGAAGAAAGTGAACGGAGCTTCAGAGACCTGATACATCGAACCTATCAACAGATGCATAATGGGAGTCCTGAGAGGAGAAGAGAGAGAGATAAAAAATGGCAGAAAAATATTTGAAGAAATAGTTGTCGTTATGTTCTCAAATTTGTTGAAAAACATTAATCCACACACCTTGCGCTGCAAGTAGGATAAACCCAGAGACCGACATTTAGGTACATCAGAGTCAAACTGTCAAAAGGCAAAGACAATCTTGAAAGTAGCAAGAGAAAAACCTATCAAAAGCAAACCTCAATGAGGAGATCAGCTGACTTCTCATTAGAGAAGTGGAGGCTGAAGCAGTGGGATGCCACATAGTCAAAGCGCCACAAGACTGTCGATTGAGAACTTTCAGTCTAGCAAAACTATCCTTGAAAAAACAAGAAATTCCCAAATCAACAAAAACTGAGATAATCCATCACTGTCAGACCTTACCTATAAGAAATACTAAAAGGAGTCCTTCAGCTGAAATGAAGGACATTAGATCATAACTTGAATCCACACAAAGAAATAGACTGTTGTAAAGGCAGTTATGCAGGTAAACACAAAAAAGAGTAGTGTGATGAATTTTTGTTACCTTTTTCTTATCCTGTCTGATTTAAGAGACCACTGCATAAATGATAATTATGAAAGTATTGATGGGCTTATAACATATAAAGATGTAATTTGTATGACAACAAAATACCTGAAAGTTGGTTAACATGATAAAATTAATCAAAGTATATATCACATTAATAGAATAAAGGACAAAACCACATAATCTCAATAGATGCAGAAAAAGTACTTGACAAAGTCCAATATTCTTTCATGATAAAAACACTCAACAAACTAGAAAGAGAAAGGGAGCTTCTGAAGCCTGGAAAAGATTATCTGTGAAAAACTATATCCAACATCATATTTAATGGTGGAAGACTGAATGCTTTCCTTCGAAGACCAGGAAGGCGGCCAGGAAATCTGCTCTCATCAATTCTGCTCAACATAGAGCTAGAGATCCAAGACAGGGCAATTGTGCAAATAAGTAAACAAGTGAGTAGATAAACAGAAATAAATTACATCCAGATTATAGAGGAAAAAGTAAAACTATATTCACAGGTATGATCTAAGGCATTCACAAAATAACTATTAGAACTAAAATGTGAGTTTAGCAAGTTTGAAGATATGAAATCAATATAAAAGTTTAATATATTAAAAAAGTTTAATGTATTTGTATACACTAGCAGCAAACAATTCAGATATAAAATTAAGAATATTATTCCATTTTTAACAGCATCAAAAATGCTTAGGACTAAATTTCATAAAAGAAATATAAAATATATATATTGAAAACCACCTGACACTATTAAAATAAAGAAGACCTAAATAAATAGAAAGATATCTTATATTCATGGATTTGGAAGACTCGATACTGTTAAGATGACATTACTTCCCAATTGGTCTTCAGAGTCAGTGCAATCCCAATCAAAATCTCACCTGCCTTTTTCTTTTCTTTCTTTTTTAAGATTTTATTTATTCATTCGTGAGACACACACACAGAGAGAGAGAGAGGCAGAGACACAGGCAGAGAGAGAAGCAGGCTCCATGCAGGGAGCCCAATGCGGGACTCGATCCTGGGACTCCAGGATCACACCCTGGGCCACAGACAGGCGCTAAACCACTGAGCCACCCAGGGATCCCCATCACCTGCCTTTTTCTTAGGAATTTACAAGCTACTGCTAAAATTCAGATGGAGATGCCAGGCACTCAGAAAAGTCAATACACTCTTAGAGAAGAACAATGTGAGAGGACCCACACTCCCCGATTTCAAAACTTACTATGAAGTTGTAATAATCAAGACCGTGTGTTACTGGAAATGGAATAGAACTGAGTTCTGGAAATAAACCCTTCCACTTGCAGTTAGTTGATTTTTGGCAGGGGCACACGGACAGTTCAGTGGGGTAAAAAGTCTATCACAAATGATGCTGGACAACTGGATATCCACATGCAAAAGAATGAAGTTGAACCATTATCTCACACTATATACAAAAATTAACTCAAAATGGATCCAAGTTCTGAATGTAAGAAGTAAAACTATAAAGCTATTAAAAGAAATGAAAGGATGAGAGACACCTGGGTGGCTCAGCTGGCTAAACATCTGCCTTTGGTTCAGGTCATGATCTCAGGGTCCTGGGATTGAGTCCAGAGGCTGGCTCTGTGCTGGGTGGGGAGTCTGCTTACCCCTCTCCCTGCTCATCCTCTCTCTCTCTCAAATAAATAGATAAAATCTTTAAAAAAAGAGAAATATATGGGTAAATCTTCATGACTTTGGGCTTGACAAAGGATTCTTACATATGACACCAAAGGCAAGAGCAACAAAAACAAAAAAAAAACCTAAATACACTAGATATCATCAAAATTAAAAACTTATTCTTCAAAGGCCACTATCAAGAAAGAAAGAAAAAAAAAACCAACCCAGAAACAGAAAATATTTACAAATCATATATGTGATAAGGATCTTGTATGCAGAATATAGACAGAAATTTTACAGCTCAACAATAAAAGACAGCTAACAAGTGAAAACATGGGCAGAGAATTTGAACAAACATTTCCCCAGAGAAGACACACACGTGACCAAGAAGCACATGGAAGGACGCCCAAATCAGTAGTTACTAGGAAAAAGCAAATCAACAGTGCAAGATGATAGCACTATGTACCTGCTATGATGGATTTAACAAAAAAGACAAATAATGACACCTGTTTATGAGGATGTAAAAAAATTAGAAATCTCATGTGCTGCCGGTGGGCATATAAAGCGGTGCAGTCACTTTGGAGAACAACCTGGCAGGTCCTGAGGAAAGTAAATGGAGTTATCACGTGAGTGAGCAATTCCGCTCCCAGTACACACCCAGTAATCTGAACGCGTATGTTCACGCAAAGTCGTCCATAGTGGGTTCGTAGGAGCCTCAAAGTGAAACAATCCAGATGCCCTTCAGCCGACAAGTGGAGACACAGATGTGGCCTTCCCGGGGCGGGGGGGCCTGATAGGGACAACGCTGCTGATCCCCAAGCTCCACTGAGGGTGGAGCTGTCAAGTAGCAGAGGAGATACAAATACAAATACAAAGGGCTCCTAGGGATGTGAAAAGCATCATGTGTTTAGACCATTTGTCATCACAGGAAGACCACACTTTCCCCAGCGGACTAACAGTGATCAAATTTTGAGAATTTACTGTTAGTGAGAGGATTAGGAGACTGACTGGTTCTTTCCTTTTCCTAAAGAAAAAGTCGACACAAATGTCATTTTGGCGGCAATTTGGCAAAATTCATCTCAATTGCAATGCCGCATGAACTTTGATCCAGGCGCTGTATTTTAGGAGTCTGTCGTCTGACTGACCTGTAGGAATTCTTACAAGAGGGGCACCTGGAGGCTCATGGTCGAGCATCCGCCTTCAGCCCAGGCTGTGACCCGGGGTCCTGGATCGAGTCCCGCCTCGGGCTCCTGTGGGGAGCCTGCTTCTCCCTCTGCTTGTGTCTCTGCCTCTCTCTCTCTCTGTCTCTCGTGAATGAATAAATAAAATCTTAAAACAAAATAATTCCTACAGGAATGTCTATCTTAGTATTATTTCCAAAAAACAGAAGACCAAAAACACCCTAAACGTCCACTGAGCAACGACTTGCACCTATTGGGTGCTCAGTAGTCACATCCCCGGGCACTTAGCAGAGATCTTAGCGTAAGTCCACACAAAAATCTGCACACAAATGTTCATCGTGGCTTTCTCTACGATATTCCTATTGATGGATAATGTACATACGACACAACGCACAATTCTTAATTGTTAAAATTTGATATGTTTTGGCAAGTTCGTGCCTGCCTGTAGTCCCCATTTTATGAGACTTAAAATACTTCTAATACCCTAGAAAGTTACTCTGTGCCACTTCCAGTTTATCTCTGCCCGTTGGGCCCACCCCCAAATCTTGGGGCCAGCACCAGTCTGATTTCTTTCACTGTGGGTTAGTTTTCGTATGCATGGGGTCCTACCTGACGTGCTCCTTCACGTGGGGCTTCCTCGGATCAGGAACATGTGTCAGAGACTCCTCTGTGTTATCATGTGCACCGAGGGCCCATTTCCTTTGTAAAGGCCCGCTAGCATTTCCTGGCATGGATCCAACACAATTTATTTGTGCATTTTCCTGTTGATAGATGCTTGGATTGTTTCACATTTTAAGAATAAAGCTTCTGGGGGCAGCCCCGGTGGTGCAGCGGTTTAGCGTCCCCTGCAGCCCAGGGCGTGATCCTGGAGACCCTGGATCGAGTCCCACGTCAGGCTCTCTGCACGGAGCCTGCTTCTCCCTCTGCCTGTGTCTCTGCCTCTCTCTCTCTCTGTGTCTCCATGAAAAAATAAATAAAATCTTAAAAAAAAAAAAAAAGAATAAAGCTTCTGGGCAGCCCAGGGGCTCAGCGGCTTAGCGCCGCCTGCAGCCCAGGGCATGATCCTGGAGACCCGGGATCAAGTCCCACATTGGGCTCCCTGCGTGGGGCCTGCTTCTCCCTCTGCCTGTGTCTCTGTGTCTCTCATGAATAAATAAATACAATTTTTTAAAAAATAATAAAAGTAAAGCTTCTGTGAACATTGCCGTATAAATCCTTTTGTACGAGGTAAGTTTTCACTCCTTTCAGCCAAAAACCTAAGAATGGAATTGCTGGATCGTACAGTAAGGCATTACGTTTAAATTTATAAGAAATGACCGAACTTTTTTCTTTTAAAGATGTTATTTATTTAATTTTATTTTTTATTTTTTAAAAGATTTTGTTTATTTATTGGAGAGAGAGAGAGTGAGAGAGCGAGAGAGACAGGGAAGGGGCAGTGGGAGAGAAAATATTCTCTGGGCCCAGTCGGGAGCCTGACACGGGCCTCGATCCCAGGACCCTGGGGGGAAGACCTGAGCCGGAGTCCAGAGCTGGCCCCCCAAACTGAGCCCTTGGCACCCACTGAAAGGTTTTCTAAAGCTTTTACATAATTTACTTTGTCACAGCAAAGCGAATGTGTGGCACTTGAGAGAGAGGAGCGAGCGTCCTCGTGCGCTTACTGGCCCTTGCATGTGTCCCTGGGAGGGCAGGTGCCCGAGGGTGTCCTCCACCCTGTTACCAACTCGTAGAAAGACCCTGTCCTCCAGCTTTATGGAGCCCTAACGGGCACAGGTGAGCAGCGTGTGGACATGCTGCTTGTCGCGCTGCAGTGAGAGGCACTGGGTCACCTGGGTCACCTGGGTCACAGCGCGGTGACTAGTCTCCCGGGCTGGGGCCACCGAACAGCCGCTGCTCGGCAACTTCCAGGTCTGTACCGAGAGCCAGCAGTTAGGGGCTGCGAGCGGCGGAGGCCCCAGAACTGAGCCCTCAGCCCCACACCCCGTGCTCTCTGGCCAAGGCCTGAAGGGGTTCTTAGACATTCTGACATCAAACTGCTTGTTCGGGATGCTTTGGGACCCCTTCCTCCAGTCTTGGACTTGTTCATTAATTTTCTTACTGGTGAAGTTTAAAATTTTGATGAACTCTAGTTTTGTTTTGTTTTTGTTTTTGTTTTTTTAAGATTTTATGTATTTATTCACAAGAGACACAGAGTGAGGCTGAGACCCAGGCCGAGGGAGAAGCAGGCACCCTGCAGGGACCCCGACATGGGACTCGATCCCGGGACCGGGGTCACGCCCTGGGCTGGAGGTGATGCTCCATTGCTGAGCCCCAGGGCGCCCCCAGATAAGTGTTTTTGAAACCTAATTGGAGAGGCCGGTGGCCCCGCAGAGCGCAGAGCGGGTGTGCAAGGGAGCTCGGGCTCCCCCACCAGTGGTCAGGGGGCCCGGCCCGCCAGCCTCCTCTGCAGTAGGTGGGTCTGGGGGGCGGTGGGTCGAGGGGGTGGGCAATGAGGGCAGGTAACCTTGCGGCCAGCAGAGGGCACAGCGCCAGCGGGTCCCGGGCCACCCGGTGCCACTTGCAGCTGGGTAGGCACTGGGAGGGCCACAGGGGTGGCCCTGGCTCTGCAGGGGCAGCGGGGGCTCCTCAGTCACACGGTGGGGGGGGGCTGCAGCCCTGATGTGTGAGGCCCCATGGTGTGTCCCCTCTGCCCGGGGCCCCAGCCCTTAGAGGCTCCCGGTGTCCCTGGAAGTCCCGGGTCTCAGTGTGCCCTCCAGTCTCCCGCAGCTGGTCTGCACTTTGACTCGCCCACTGGGAGGCTGAGCCCCAGCTCCGGGCAGCGAGAAGGCGGCTCCGGTTCTGGCCGTGGCTGCTTGACCCACTGGTCGGTGGTTGGTGGGGCGGGTGGTCGGACCTGTTGCCTTGGTCATTGCAGCGGTAAGCAGGTGCCCGGCAGGTGCCCGGCAGGTGCCAGGAGTCGAGAGAGGATGCATCCCCTTCGTATGTCCAGGGCTGCTGTCCTCAGGGCGGACAGGAAGGCTTCCCTCTCAGAGTCCAAGAGGCACCCGGTGTCTGGGAAGCAGGCAGTGAGGGCGGCTCTGTTGAAGCAGAAAAGGACTCTGGGAAAGGCCATTGGGCAGCGCCGAGGGCAGACCCGGTCCCAGGTCGGGGGCTCCTTCTACCAGTCGGCCTCGCCAGGAGGAGGCCGGGCCGAGCTTCGGGGATGAGGCACCTGGGGGGGGGTGACTCCCTAATCCGTAGAGAGCCAGGAAACACAGTGCCATCATGGGCCGATGACAGGGGCCCACGTGGGGAGCACCCAGCTTCTCCTCTTTTGCTGAAATCAAACCGACCAGACCCCAAATTATCTTTAAGAACACAGATGCAGGGATCCCTGGGTGGCGCAGTGGTTTGGCACCTGCCTTTGGCCCAGGGCGTGATCCTGGAGACCCAGGATTGAATCCCACGTCGGGCTCCCGGTGCATGGAGCCTGCTTCTCCCTCTGCCTGTGTCTCTGCCTCTCTCTCTCTCTCTCTCTCTCTCTCTCTCTTCTGTGTGTCTGTGACTATCATAAATAAATAATAAAAAAAATTAAAAAAAAAAAAAGAACACAGATGCAGTAAAAAGGAATAAAAAAGGAAAAAAAAATCCCAGAGCCATTGGAAAAGTCCCTTAGGACCGTGTCTGTTTTACCAGAAGTGCCAAGAGGTTGTTCCAGCAAACGTGACTTGGAGGTGCCGTGTCCCAGCTTGAGGGTGCCTGGCCACGTCACTTCGCCCGCAGCCCCAGAGTCCACTGGTTGCCCCAGGCCGCGAGCGCTGACGGCCAGACGGGAGCCAGCTCGGGGGAGGCCACGCACCACTCTGCCTGTGGGGTGCACTCTGCTCTGCCTGTGGGGCAGAGGTGCCCCACCCGGGCCAAAGCGCCGCTGCTCAGGGTCCCCACCGGGCACATCGGTGTAACAACGGTGTCTCCCCAGCTGCTTCCGCTACCACGTGTCTTGAGGCTCCTGTTTGACGGCGTCAGGCTAGTTTTGGGGGGGCCTGGGGCCAAGGCTGTACGCTGAGGGATGGCAGCACAGAGTCTTGTCTGAGGGCAGAGGGTGACTCAGTGATTCAGCGCCGAAGCCAAGTCCAGGGCAGGACCTCAATTAAAGAAAAGAAGGGGAAAAAAGCACCAGGACGACCCCAAGGCCTGGCCAGGGCCACACGGGTCGTCATGCGGCCTGCAGGGCCCCTGGGGGCCCCACTTCAGCCCCTCCTGCCACTGCCCTCATGGGGTCAGGACTTCACACCCACTAGCTGCCCTGCTCGTTGGTGATCTAATGGCCCCAAATCGTTGACCCTCTTCCCACGGGCGCCTGGGGACTGCATGTCCTCCCCTGGAGGCTGCTTAGGGTTAGGGTTGGGGTTGGGGTTGGGGTTAGCATTAAGGTTAGGGATAGGGTTTAGGGTTAAGGTTAAGGGTAGGGTTATGGTTACGGTTAGGGTTAGGGATTAGGGCTTATTGTTAAGGATGGTCTTTGGGTTAGGGTTAGGGTTTAGGGTTGGTTAAGGTTAGGGATAGCATTTAGGGTTAAGGTTAGGGTTAGGGCTAGGTTAGGGTTAGGGTTGAGGGTTAGGGTAGGGTTGGGGTTGTGGTTAGGGTTAAGAGTAGGGTTTAGGGTTAGGGTTAAGGTTAGGGATAGCATTTAGGTTTAAGATTAGGGTTAGGTTAGGGTTAGTTTAGGGCTAGGGTTAGGGTTTAGTGTAGGGTTAGGCTTGGGGATGGGCTAAGGGTTAGGCTCTGGGTTAATGTTATAGTTAGGTTAGGGTTAGGGTTAGCTATGCTGGCCTGTTAGGGATTAGGTTATGTTTAGGATTATGGTTATGGGTGCGGTTGAGGTTGGGGTTAGGATTAGGGGTTAGGGTTAGGATTAAGGTTACGGGGGGATCTCTGGATGGCTAGGTGGTTTAGCGGAGCCTTCTGCTCAGGGCATGATCCTAGAGTCCTGGGTTGGGTCCCACATCAGGCTCCCTGCATGGAGCCTGCTTCTCCCTCTGCCTGTGTTTCTGCCTCTTTGTGTGTGTCTCTCATGAATAAATAAATAAAATAATTTAAAAAAAAAGATTAAGGTTTGGGATAGGGTTAGGGTTAGGGATTCGTTTTAGGGTTAATTTTGAGGTTAGAGTTAGGGGTTAGGGTTTGGGTTAGGGTTGGGGTTGGTATTAGGGTTAGGGTTAGGGCTAGGTTTAGAGTTAAGGTTAGGGATAGGATTTAGGAGTTAGGATTAGGTTCAGGGTTAGGGTTAGGGTTAGGTTAGGGGTAGGTTTAGGGTTAGGGTTAGGGGTTAGTGGTTAGGGTTCGTGGTAGCTTTAGGGTTCGGGTTAGGTTTGGGGTTAGGGTTAGTTTAGGGCCAGGAGACCCCACATCTGGACCAGCTGATGGCAGCCGGCTCCCCCAAGCCACTCCCCTTGAGAGCTAGGTGAGCCACAGGCTGGAGGAGGAGCCCAAGACCCCTGCCTCTGAAAGATCCTAATTTACTGGCAGGAAGTATCCTTACTTGAGTCATCCCTAGGGCGACCGCAGGCTCTGAGCTCAGCGTGTCCTTGCTGGGAAATGCCCACCCATGCACTCGAGGTTGATTCATCCCCCAAAATCTTATCATTGATTTCTTTTACGAACATTGATCAATTTGGTCCTTCCCTGGTCACTGCTAAAATCCCTGAGGCAACTTAGAGTCGAATACACAACCTTTATTCTGGAAAGCACCACACAGGCATCTGTGTGTCGGGCACTGGGTCAGAATAAGAGAAGCTGCAGGCTGGCGGAGGGGAGGGAGGGGCAGGGCACCTGCAGGGCCGGCGCAGCCTGGGTGGGGGACGTGCCCTCGGCGGGACATGGGTTCGCAGCTTTCCTCTGCAGGTGAGACACGGGGAGAATGTACATCCTGCCTCCAGCCTCAGGTTTTGGCGCATGAATGTTGGTGGCCTCCCAGTGGCCCGAGGGCCCGTGCGTCGGCTACGCACGTGTGTGCTCTGAAGGCCGCGGCTCTCGCAGCCTCTGGCTGGCCTTTCCAGGACGCTTCTCAGCGGAGGTGCGCGTGGAGATGCCTCATTCTCTGGGCTTTTCTCTGCAGATCCTGATTTAGTCGATGGGGTGGGGCTGTGCAGCTGTGAAACCCGGGCCCAGTGGCCCTGCAGCGGCCAAGCTGGGGGGTGTGGGGGGGAGGCCAGCACCGTGCTCACACCCGGAGCCGCCTCAGAAGCGGGGAGATAGAGGAGTGAAAGGCTAGCTGGGCGCCCCAAGCCCCCGCCCCGGTCCCCGGCCAAGGGTGGGCCGAAGGGCCCCTGGGCTCCAGCTTCTCGGCCCGGGCTCCGCGCTGAGCCCTCAGGCGCTGCTGCCCACCAGGTTCAGCAGGGCGTTCCTGTAGTCACCGCTGGTGTCTTCCTGGGGACAGGGACAAGACGGTCACGGGGGTATCTGTCAGCTGAGGTTCTTGCTAGGACTCGTTCGTGCTCCCTGGGGAGCGAGGCTGGGCACCCCCTGCTTCCCGGGAGGCAGGCCCACCCTGTGACACTGCAGGACATTCGCCTGTGTCTCTGACTCTCCTCCTAACGACAGGGGAGCTCAGCGTAGGAAATGACTCACAGACACCGTCCTGCTCTGGGGCCAGGAAGGCATCTTGGTGGCCCCTGGTTCCACCGGCTGCGCGGGCCTCCCCACGGTCTGTTCAGGCCCCGCGCCTGCCCAGCCGCCCGTTTACTCAACAGTGACCGTCACAGATCAGGGAACCGAGGCAGGAGGCAAGGCGCCCAGTGCGGGGCCTGGGTCCGGGTGCACGCACACCCAGACAGCAGCTGTCGCTCACTGCCCCTGCAGCTGGGACAAGTCTCCTGTCACCACCCCAGACTCCACCTCATCTATCAAATGCCGGTGCTGCTGTGGCTGGGAGCCTCCTGAGATGTGCTGAGGTGCAGGCAGGGAGGCGCGGGCTTGCCTGCGCGGCTCACGTGGGGGTCACACGGCACCTGTGTCTGGGTGCGCCTGACCCCGCACGGCCCACGGCGGGACCCCACGTCTCCGGGCCACCCGGCGCCCGAGCTGCGAGGCAGGCCCTGAGAGTGCAGGGCCGGGGTCTGCGCAGCAGGGGGGAGCTCCCCGTGTGCCAGGAGGAGGACAGCGGGGGGCACCGCGGCCGCTGGGGCACTGGGTCAGAAAGGCCTGGGCCGGCTCCACATCCTACGTCCTACGTGCCGGGGCACTTCCCACTCATGGGAATCAACGGATCCTTAACTTTCACTCAAATTTGCTGGTACAATCCTTTGGGCCTGAGGTTTCCTGGTAGATTTTTAACCACATTTCAAATTCCTTCCTTCCTTCCTTTCCTTCCCCCCCCCCTTTTTTTTCTATTGACAGAACAATTTCTGTAATACATTAGTTTTGTTTTCGTATTTTTTTTGAAAACCAGTTTGTCTATCTTTTAAAATGCATGCCTATAACGTTATAAGTGAGGTTTTTAATCAATTTTCCTATTAATTTCTATGCAGGAGTTTTTAATGCAGGTATCGCTGTTGGAAATCATTTTTTTTTCTCTGATGACATCTACAGAGAGTGGTCTGTACGCAAAGAAAGCACCTGGCCACCTTTGCCACAATTCCAACTAAATGCAAGCAAGGCCTGAAGGAGGTGGGCTTCTTGTATGTGTAGACAGGGGATTCTGTGATTGATTATTGCTCATGCACCAATTAGCCTCCTAAGTCTCTCCCTGTCATGAAGTCTACACCCTGGATGGGTCAAAGTCACCATTTTTGCTCAGTGTGGCTGTTCCTCTGACGTCTGACTGCAGCTCCTTCTAACTGATGCTGAGAAGGTAGAGGAAGCTCCCTGAGGCCCCAGAAGCCGTGTATGGTTGAAAAAGATTCCTAACCCTCGGCGGGCCTGGGTGTTGGGGAGCCATCAGTAGCCCGGGCTGGTTTGCGGGGAGCCCTCCTGTCTTTTGGCAAGACTGGCTGGGAAGCCAAAAATGAAACAAAGAATAATTCCACCAGCCTTCATCCCCACCTACCGCAGCTCCATTCTGAACCATATTAAAGTAGAAATGCTTAAAAAAAAAAAAAGTAGGGGATCCCTGGGTGGCGCAGCGGTTTGGCGCCTGCCTTTGGCCCAGGGCGCGATCCTGGAGAACTGGGATCGAATCCCACATCGGGCTCCCGGTGCATGGAGCCTGCTTCTCCCTCTGCCTGTGTCTCTGCCTCTCTCTCTCTCTCTGTGACTATCAAAAATAAATAAAAATAAAAAAAATTAAAAAAAAAAGTAGAAATGCCTTTTTTTCTTTAAACATAGTGTGAGCTGCGTGTTTCTTGGAAATACGGTTGACAACAGACATTTCTAGAATAGCTTAGGGATCTGACTTAGCAGCCAGGGAAGACTTGGGACCTACCTCCAGGCGTGACTTCCCTTAATGAAATAGTCAAGGCCTCATTTGCATTAATGACTAGAAAAGCTATTTCATCTGACTCATCTCCTTAAAATTGTGCTGCTCCGACTACCGAAGCCTGGATGTGAGGGCGCCTGCCTGATTCTTCCCAAATGACTCCCTGTCGTTGGCGTCCAGATGTGGTTTCCTTTGCTAGGGCTCAGGGTGTTCTTTTCAAAGGGGCTCCCAGGAGTCCAGGGCAAAGCCAACCGTAGGCCTGAAGCACCCAGGCCTCCGTGGTCTGGCTTTGTGCCTGCCCTGGCCCCTCGCCTCCCCCGCCCCCGCACCATACCGACCCCCTTGCCTGTCCCCACACACCGCATGACAACGAATGCAGAATGAGACCCCTACTGGGAAGGGATGGACACAGGTTATGTGGGCTGTGGCCCAGCCCCCGGGTCACCCCGGAGGTAGAATCGGGACCTCGCGGCTCACCTCAATCATGCTGCTGAGGGTCTTGCTGTACATCTTCATGAACTGACACTTGATGAGATTTAAGTCAATCTCACTCCTCGAAACGATGTTTCTGATCAGGGTCCCATCGCGTGTCCCTGCTCCCTGGATAAAAGGCAGTGGTCAACAGTCACTGCTGGCCTCTCCGGTCCAGTCCCTGCTGACACACAGGTCTGTGCTCTGGGGCAGGCCCTTCCTCGGGGCCGGGGATACGGGAATGGGCCTCTACTTCAGGAGAAGCGCTGAGAAGGCTGCTTCCGTGACTCGGGGATTCCCTTCATTTCTTCTCCCTCTGGCCCACATGTCTGCCCATACTGGGAGCCAAAGGCCCCAAGGGCAGTGTGTGTATGTGTGTGTGTGTGTGTGTGTGTGGTGCTTGCACATGGTATTCGAGACACAGGATGCTCCCTGTTCCAGGAGGAAGACTTCTCCCTAGAGCAGCAACATCGTGAAATTCAGCTTAAGTGGCCAATTCCCCAGCAACACCTTCCCGCCTTCATCGTCAACTGCTCCCACGGCCGAGCCGCGGGCCCGATGGGCTGGGATGCCCAGCGCTGCCTCTTGGGCCACAGGCGAGCCCGGGCCGGTGCTCCCGGCGTGCACGGAGGAGGAGGGCCGCGTGTGGCAGCCTCCCTCTGCACGTCCGTGCAAAGGGTGCCCTGATTTCCTGGCCGTGTCGACTTGGGCTTGCCCAAGGGCGTCACATGGTGGCATGAAAAGGAAGCAGGACTGGCCTGGGTTCAAACCGAGGCTCCACCAGGTGCCAGCTGAGTGACCTGGATCACAAGCCTTAGCTGCGCCATCCGTGGGATGGCACTCATGACACAGGCTTCACAGGGTTGTTAGGAGAGGTCAGTGCACTGCACACCTGTGAAAACACCTGCTCAAATTCACCCGTGGCTTCCCTTCCTTGGACTCGGTTTACCCTCTGCCGATAGAGCGTTCGGCCCAGCAAGGGGCTGGAGTGAGAGGAGACACGCGTGTCACAGCGGTGGCTCTGACCGCCCCGTCTTTGACATCGGAACCGAGAGGGGAGGAGAACGGGGGGCACAGAGGACAGAACCGTTACCTTCAGGGCATAGTAGAGCTGCTCGGCGAAGTAGCTGTGGAGGTTCCGCGTGCACTTCACTGGCAAACAGGAAAGCTCTGTCAGTGCTACGGGTTGCAGTGGCACGTGTACGTGTTTACTGATTTACGCCTTGCCTCGGATCTTGGGGGGGAGCATCATGCGGTTCCTGGCCTAGTTGCGTATGTGCTGCCTGGCTTCGAGAGGCTCTGCTCCGCGTAGGGAGGGCAGGCCAGGAAGCCAGGGGCCCTGGGCGCAGGCTGAGGGTGAGCCACGAATGCACGGGGTCTGCGGGGCTGGCCCACCTGGCCCGGCTCTGTCCAGGGCAGCCCCTGGGCCCCGACGCTGCAGAGCCAGCTCTGCCCAGAATCTGGTCCTCAGCTCCACAGAGGAACCGGGACTGTGCCCACAAGCCTCAGGTGCCCTCTGCACGTCACGTGTCAGTAAGGCTCCTCCGTCTGAATTTCCACGTGGCGGCAGAGCCCAGCCCTGGAGCACCGGGGCACCGGCACGTCTGGCCCAGGGAGCCGGCCCGTGTTTGCTTTCGTGGGTGCTGCTTCAGACTCGGCACCTGGGTCTGGGAGCTTGGCGCTTTACTTAGGGCAGCAGAGAGGGCGTGGGTCTTGCTGTTGTTCAGCTCTCTGCTGAGGGCTGTGACCCACTCCCTGACCTGCCTGCCTTGCTCCGCCCTGGCCCGGAACTGAGCGGTGGGCGTCCTCAAGGACAACTGAGGAGCAAGCGCCCTGTGTGGGGCCACTGCGCCCCTTTGCTCTTCCATGCCTGAAGGTTTATCCAGGAGGCCCTCCAGACCCCTTGCAGGGGCTGACTCGCGCTGGGGCAGGGTCCTCGCTGAGACGCCCCAGCCTGGACTGGTTTTCATCCCAGCAGTCAAAGCCACCGGGAACTGTTGAGGTTGCAGTGTACCCACACATGTGTGGAGCTCCCCTGACCGACCCTGAGTGGGGCCAGCCTGGTGTGGGGGTGTGTGCCCTCACCCTGGTGCCCTAGCCGTGGCTCCATGATGGGAGGGAGCAGAGGAAAAGCCCCTCTGCCCCTGGGCCTCGGCTGTGCATGGACACCTCTCCCTGTTAACTCAGCTCTGCACCCTGTGACCTCAGCTCTGCACCCTGGTCTAAGTACACTTGATGTCAGGCTTGAGGGAAGGCGACCAGCGGCCCCAGCATCAGATCATCAGGCGTGGAGTCTGGATTGCAACTAGACATCATCATCCCTTCAAAGGGCAACCAAGGCAGAGACTAGGGCCCCTGCTAAGGTCTGGACAGGTGACTTTGTTTAGGGCTTAACATCACAACCAAGACGTTCCCTGTGTGGTTGCTGAGGGTGTGTGCAGGCCGGGGGCCAGGCACGATCCTGCCAGTGTGCACATGCCCTCACATACACACCAATGCTCACTTGGATCACGCTCACACCTACGTTGGCACACACACTGCACAGGGGTTATGGGGGCAGGACATGGCACCCTGGAGACAGCAGGGTGGAGCAGTTCCCGTGTCCTGGGCCCAGAGGCACATGCGTGTGGCCTGGAGGCACGGGGCCCCTTGAAGGTGGACATGGGGACCCCCTTGCTACTGTGCCCTGGGCCAGCGGGAGCCCCTGGCTGCGGACACCAGGTGGCTGAGCACCCAGCAGTCTCTTACCCACTGTGAGCATGGCCTCCTCCAGGGAGCCATGGGTCTCACTCTTGATGCTGTCCTCAATGCTCTTGCCAGCGATGCTCTCGTATTCCTCAAACACTGTGGGGAGACGCCTCCTCTTAGGGGACCTGCAGATCTCCGTGTCACCCAGCACCGCAGACGGAGACTGCACATCTCTGTGCCACCAGCGACCTCCGCCCGGTTCTCAGGGACAGGGTCCGGGCTCCCTGGCGGTGTCCCCCGCTTCCCGGCCCCTGCGGCCGCCCTGCTGGAGCCTGACGGGCCTCCCCCCTCCCCAGTACCTCTCAGCAGGTGGGTGGCGCTGCGCGTGCACAGGATGGTGATGAATTTCATCTCGTCCGTCCCGTGAATCTTCTCGCCCGCTGCGTACAGATCCTGGTATTGCGGCCACCGCAAGGGGCCACGAGAGAGGGCACGGGGCTGGGGTCAGCGCCCATCCACCCACCGGGCCCTCCTGGCTTGCCCTCCTGGCTTGCTGTCCCCGAGAAGTTAGAATCCCTTCTGGAAGTCTGCCCAGAAGCCGCTGGGCCCCCTCCCTTGGGGCCCCGCCCCGCCCGAGGCCCCGCCTCTGCTGAGGCCCCGCCTCCCGAGGCCCCGCCCCGCCGCTCCGGGACCGCCCTGCCCCTGAGCATCTCTAGGCACCCACCAGAACGCTCCCCTCCGGTCCTCGGAGGCCCCGCATCCCCGTCCATGGCTGTTCCTGAGCTTCGGTGGACCCCCCCCCCCAGTTGCCCTCCTCCCCATTTCTAGGTCTCCCCAACAGCCGCCCCTTCCTTCTGGAACCCCGCGGGCACAGGTGTCCAGAGAGCTGAGCGGGTCCCAGCCTGGCCTAGTGTCGCAGGGAAGCCAGGAGCATCAGCCCCGGGGGTCAGGATGCAGGGGTGAGGCAGGCGGCCCACAGGGCGGAAGCTGTGGGCGTGGTGACTGGCCTCACCTGTGCATCTTGGACGGCCTGTCCCCGGTCCACGAAACCACTCACATCATCCCTGCTGCCCTAGAAACAGAAGCGGTGGCTGTGATGGGCAGGAGGGCGGCAGGGCTGCAGCGCCCTTGGGCCGTGGGGACTTCGCAGGCCGGTACCCTTCTCCAGGCCGGATTCCTCACCCAGAGGTGACACTAGTGAGCCTCTGGGAGCTGGGGACGCAGGAGCGCGGGTAACTGCATGCGCCACCTGGGGCGGGCAGTAGGGGCCTGCTGCCCCCAGTGCCTCCTCCCCGTCCTGGGCCATGCCGCAAGGCCGTGCCGGGCAGGGGTGCGAGGCCCCAGCCACACTGATGTGTCCGAGAAGCCAGGCCCTGACGACCCCCTCCCGAGCCCAGCTGCTGGGGTGGGCCAGGCGGGGGCTCCCAGGAGCCGAGCAGTGCTACCTGCAGCAGGCACACCAGGATCCTCTCCAGATAGCCGCTGGTGTCGGCCTGGATGTCTTCTTCCAGGCTGGACCCGTAGTCTGAGGGGAGATGGGAGCCTGAGGCACAAACGCTCAGTCCTATCCCGGCCCCGTCTCCCGCGCTTCTCTCCATGGAGGCCTCCTGGTAAGGACAATCCCGGGGCGGGGACACCCTGTGCCGAGCCCGATGGCGGCGGCTCCAGCACCTGGTGGTCACTCAGAACGAGGACGCCGCACCACACGTGGCCGAGCTTGGAGCACAGGGATAGGTCTGCCTGGCACCTCCTTGGGGGCTGCCTATGGGCTCTGCTCCACTTGGCGGGGACAGGCTGGCCTCTGCCTGCCTCGCGTCCCGGGGGCGCCACGATCGCAGGCCTGTGGGCCCCCTTCGCCCCTTGCAGCAGGGCCTCCCTGCTCGGCTCCCGGGGCCAGCCGCGCCTGTGGGCCTAAGGAGCTTCGAGAGCATCCGGCACAGGACGGGACACCCGGCAGGTACACAGCGCCCATGTGCAGAAGAGCCTTCCCGGGGAGGCCCAGCACACGGCTCGCCCCTCGCCGCCTACCGGGCAGCTCCCAGCCGAGGCCCAGCCCTCCCGTACCTGCCTCGTACGCCTTCATTATTTCCTGCAGGTGATTCTTGGTCCGAGAAGCCAGGATTTCAATGATGACCCCCTCTTTGGTGCCCAAGCCCTGTGGATAAACCCTGGTGTGCGGGAGAGCTCCTCCTGTGCTCGCCCGCTGCGTCCGAGGAAGGGCCTCGGGAGGAGGGTCGGTGGGCACTGCGCCCCTGGCCCTCCCGTGGGGCCTCTGGGGAAGCTGCACGCGTGTCTCCAGGGGCAGATCCTGAGGGCGGGCGATGGGAGCTGTGTCTCAGCCCTGCCCCATGCTGGTGGTCTCCTGCGGGTCACTGGGTCACGCCTCCTGCTGAGCCCAAGCATCCTCATCGTCCTGGGATGAAGAGCAGGCCCCCCCACAGGACGATGGGAGGTAACAGGTGTGATGTGCCCAGTGCACCCAGCAAGTGTCCTCTCAGTGGAGACGATGACGGGGCCCCGGCCCTGCCTCCCTCGTTATCTGTGGGTGCTAAAGGAGCGGTGGGGGTCATGGGCGATCCGAGGACCCCCCCCACACACACAGACGTCCCACATCCCGCGCCCCTGCTCTGGTGCCGTCCTGAGAAGTGCTGACCTGGCTCCCTGGTGGCCACGGGATGGCAGACGCCTGCCCGTCTGGGTCCAGTGGCAGTCTGGGCAGCAGGCTGTGGGCTCATGGGGCTTGGCCATCCCAAAAGGTGGCTCAAGGGGGCTCGGGGGTCCCAGGGCCAGGCCCCCGTAGGGAAGGCATCCCCAGCAGCGACTCCACAGGGCCACAGGGCTTCTGCGCCCCCACCCACTTAGTTACCTTCATGGCCTCATGCAGCTCCTTGGCCTCGTATCTGTAGGGCGGGTACATGAGCGCCACCATGAGCCTCTCGAACTTGCCGCTCAGCTCCGACTGCAAGGTCTCAGTGAGGTCCTAATGCAGGAAGAAGGAAAGGTAAGGTGCAGGTGCACCCAAGTGGCGGCGGGTCCCGGGGGCTCTGGTGGACTCTGTGGGCTCCCCCGCGGGCCACGGCTGTCATTTCTTGGGCCAGGAACTCAGGCTCTCTGAGCACCAGGACCCTCACCTGCCACGCGGGGACGGTGCCACTCCTGCCCTATACACTGCTCGGGGGGCTGGAGGAGACACGGGCCCCCTGAGCTCTCGGGGCAGCGCTGGCACATTATAGCCCCACGTGCACCTTTGTGGTTGCTCGCCTTCAAGTCCCAAGGTGGCCACAGGCACCCAGCATGTGCAGGAACAAAGGCGGGCCCGTGTCACCTGGGCCTCCTTCCAGGGGCAGCGTCTCACCAAGAAGCCCGAGGCCATGCCCTGCTGATCTGCACAGTGGAGCCGGGGACCAAGGGCCTCGTCAGATTTGGATTTAAATCCCCACCTTGCTGCTCACAGGTCTGGGATTGTGGCACTTACCTTAGAACATCGGTTTTCCCTAACGCCGAATAAAGAGAATAATGCACAGAATAAAGAGAATAATAAAGGTTAAGAGAAAGAAATTACTAAAAAACAATAGTGCCTGTGGTGCCTCCTGGAAAGATTGGGCTTCGTTGGTCACCTTCCGGCATTAAATCCCCAAACCAAGGACCTCTGGGTGCCCCTGCACCTGTGCTTAGGTAGGACCCTCGATGCCTGGCTCTATCCTGGGGGTGGAGGGAGGGGAGAGAGAAAAGGGGTCCAGTGGTTGTGCTCCCTGCCTCTGGAGCTGCCTCGATGCCGAGCGAGTGGACACAGAGGGGGTGCAGAGGGTGTCCAGCCGCAGGACAGAGGGGAGCCTGGCCACACCTCTGCCCCGGAACAGGGAACCATGGGAATGAGAAGGCCTTCCAGGCTCTGGGAGCAGAGTGAGCAAAGCACAGAGAGGGGGCGACATAGCTCAAGGATGGGGCTATGGAGGCTGGTGAGAGACGGGGTGGGGGTGGAGAGGAAGAGGGGGGAGGGAGCAGGGAGCCCCGGGTGTGGGGAGCCTTGTGTGCAGGGAGCTAGGGCAGCCAGGATGAAAGCGGGGAGGGGAGAAGGGGGAGGAGGAAGGGGGCGAAGGGGGGGCAGGAGCTGGAGGAGGGCGGAGGGGGGCTGAGAGGGGAGCCGGGGGAGCGGGGAGGGGGTGGGGGACCCACAAGTACCTTAAGCAGATAAGAGTGCAAGCGGCTGGTGAATTTCCCACCTCAGATAACCAACTAGTGTGTGTAGCGTGGGGTGCCCCCCAGAGGCCCTGCTCTAGGCGAGGCTCCTCGCTGCAGCCACGCTTCCGGCCCCCCCCCCATGTCCCCCCCCCTACCTTGCCAAACTGGGCCTTGAAGGACCTGGCGATTTGCTGCCTCTGCGCATTGCTCCTCCTGGTGAGCACATCGATGATGGCCTGCTCGTTGGTCCCTGAGGGGTGCGGGGCATGAGCTGCGCAGGGGAGGGCAGCCCCACACACTCCCAGCTCCAGAACCTGACGGCTCTCCTGGGGTGGAGAAGACACGCAGGCACAGGCTCCTCCACCCTCCCCTCCCCTCCCTTCCCCTCCCTTCCTGGCCGCATGTTGGGGGCTGGGGGGGCAGGGGTGGAATCGAGGACCCTGTGGCCTTCCTTCCAGGCTGCCCGGGACATACCCCGGGGCGAGACCCCCTCCCTGCATGCTCCTCTGCTGTGGGAGCAAGTGGGATCCAGGGCCCAGCATCAGGTTCAAGCTGCCCGTTCCCGGGAGCACCTGCTTTCTCCCAAAGTGGAGGTGAGAGCTGAGCCCTCCCAGAAGTGGAGGCCGCGGGGGTTCCTCTAGGAAGGACGCAGCCCTGGCCTCTGCAGGCAGGCCCAGTCCACCCCGCAGAACTGCCCACCCCCCCCCCCAGCCCACGGGGTACGGGAGCTGCGAGGCCAGTCTGGGGGCCAGCAGGCTCAGGCCCACACAGGACGCACGTGCCCACAGACAGCCGGTGCCCCTTCCCCGGACTGGGCAGGCCCAGCCTCCCTCCCTCGACTCCAGCGTGGGGCAGGCTGGGGGTGCCTGCAGGCTTCCAGGGCGGCCCCTCCTCGACCCCCCAGAGGGCCTGTGAGGACGCCACCCACCGATGCCCTTCATGGCTGTGTACAGGGCCTCTGCGTCGGGCTCCGGGTTGAAGTGGGGGCTGCCCTTCACTGTAACACCCTCCTGTTCCATCTGCAAAAGAGCCCGGGCTCGTTCGGAGGGGGGCACGCGGCGGGCAGAGCAGACCACCAGCCCACCCTGCACCTGCCCTGCACCTGCTGGGGGGCACGAGGCCCGCCCCCTCCCCTGCCTGGCGGCCCTCCCTGACCCTGCACCCCGGACGAAGTTCTGCTTGGCACCCGCTTGTGCTCCGGCTCCTTCAGGGCTGCAGAAGCCGGGGCTTGGTGTGGGGGCCCCGTGTGTCCATCAGCTGCCTCGCCCAAGGCAGGCCTGTCCCGTCAGGGTGGCTGCAGGGGCGTCGTAAGGAAGGTGAGGCAGAGCCGAGCTGCTCCGTGCCCACGGCCATCCTGACAGATGGAATCTCAGCTGTCAGCCCCTCACCCTGTGCCAGCCCTGGGGGGGGTCGGGGTGTGCTGACGCTTCAAGGCGGCTGGCACTGTGGCCCCTGCGGCGCTGCGCCCACTCCTCTCCTGAGGCCTTTGGTGTCAGGAGGAGGGAAGAGCCAGGAGGAGGCCCTGGGGGGGCCCGAGGAAGGGCCGTAGTGGTTTATTGGGGTGACAGGCCCAGCAATCAGCACCGCTGCGCTCCCAGCCACCTAGCTGTCCTCAGCGGGGCCCTACAGCTTTCTGCATCAAGCCTCTTGCCAGAGCTGTTCCTGGATCTGTCACGCTAGGATCCCTGCGGCTGGGGGAGGTTTCGGGGGGGGGGGTAGTGGGAGCTCCGGAGGAGAAGGGCGGGACCCTGGGGGGGTGGGTGCAGGGGTACCAAGGAGCGCGGATGGTGAACATCCAGGGAGGCGGCTTCCACGGGGTTAGGCAGGCCACACGCACTCTTGGGGTGACTCAGGCCTGGTAGGGGAGCCCCTCCGAGTGAGGGTCCCCTGAGAGCCCATAGCCTGCCTGGCCCGCTCCAGGGTGCTGCTCCCCTCTGGGCTCCGGGGGCTGCTGTGTCCCCTCTGTGGGGGGCTCCTTCATCACTAGGCTGGCACCGGCCAGAACCACAACCCCGTGCCCCTGCCCCTGCCACTGCCCCCACCCTGGGGTGTGGGCTCCAGATCGATGGCCTCTCCCAGTTGGTGCCATGTGGGGCAAGCGCTGCCCACCCCCACCCCCAGGCTCCTCTGGGGAAGGACGCCCCCCCCAGACCACAGCGCACGGGCGCGTCAGGACAGGCTTCTGGAGCTGAGCACGCTGCTTCGAGAGAGAGCAGACAGGCCGGGAAGAGGGGCAAGTTGGAGGTGAGGCTGCCTCCTCCCGGGAAGCGGGTACTCGCAAGAAGCAGGGAGCCAGCGCCCTGGCTGCGTGTCCCGGGGCCAGTGCAAGTCCGCAGGCTCACGGGGGACAGAGCCTCAGGATTAGAAGGAACTGGAGGACGCCCTGGAAGCTGGGAAACAAGCTAACCGAAGCACCTGGGCCCTGCCCAGATCCGGACCCCTGACCTGGGCTGGCCGCAGGACGCTTTAGCCCCGGGCCCCTAGAACCTGGAAGGTGAAAGTGAGCGATCCTCCTCGAGTGAGTGTCCTGGAGAGAGGGATGGTGGAGGAGTGCGGAGACGGAGACGGGCGTCAAAGGAGCCTCAGAGATACCCCGTGGGAAGGAGCTCAGTCCAGGCTTGTTTCCCTACTCCGTCTCCCCTATTCATTGCTCCATTTGCCCTCCACCCCCTCACCCACTTTCCCAGCTACCCACCCCCTGGTCCACTCATCCGTTCACCCAGTCATCCATTCTGCACCCACTCAATGGCCACACCCACCCATCCGTTTATTCATTCATTTAATCACCATGTCCATCCTTCTATCCATCCACCCCCACCCACCCACCCACCATCCACGCATCCTTCAAGCCCTGATGAGATCCTGAAAGCACGCCCCATCTGCGGGGGGTCTATAGTCCTTTTGACTAACAGAGGAGAAACTCTATAACTCTTCCTTTGAGTCTCGAACATCTGGTAACAAATTTCCCATCTCGTTTCTTAGCGCCCATGTCTCAGCCGGCAGCATTGGAAAGGGGTCCCCGTGCGCATTCCAGCCAGAAGAGCCCATGTGGTCTCCCGGCTGCCGGTTGTGTGTACCCCCCGCCGTCCCCTTGCTTGTGTGGCCTGAGCTGCCAGGACCACTGCTTGAGTCGCTCCTTCATGCCAGGCCCCGGCTCAGCGGTTCCAGGCGCCAGGGGCACCGTGCTCACGCCCTGACAGCGGCCGAGTCGGTGGGCAGCGGAGTCGGTGAGCGTGACTGCCCTGGAGCTGGGTGTGGGGCGCTGGGTGGGGGGGGGCTGCTGAGAGGCGCTGCTGGCTCCTGCTCACGGCCTGACTCACCAGCTGCCTCCTCCCGCTACCTGGCTGGTGACTCAGGCCCTCCCCGAAGTGGGCCTCGGCACCAGCACCACCGTGGGGCCCTTGTCTCACCCAAAACTGGCGCTGCCCCGGGGGAGCCTTGTGACCCGCTGCCCCGAGAAGCCTCAGCCTCTCCCCAGCCCGGAGCTTCGGGGGACAAGAGGTACAACTCCGGAAGCAGAGCCCCAGCGTCTGCGGTGGGCCGTGGGCCCCAGGCGCCCCAAGCGCCCGCAGTGGGGGGACGGCCTGGGCCCTGGGCCGGTGCAGGCCTGTCCAGACAGGAGCGTTTCCCTGGAAATGTGACTCAGCTCTGCCTGTGACTGTCGGGGAGCGGCCACACCTTGGCCTTTCCCGACATGAGGCCGCCCGGGGACCCGGAGCAGACTCGGTCTCTGTAAAGGAGGCACAGACTGGCCCAGCTGACCCCTCGCGCCCAGGCGCTCGTCCCAAGGCCCTCGTCCCCAGGCCCTCGTTCCCTTCCCCATGGAGCCGTGGGCTGCCCCCATGCCCCGGGGCGGGGCTCTCAGTCCTGGCACCAGCTCAAGGACCTCCAGTGGCCCGCTGCTCTGAGGGGAAAGCCCAAGCCCCTCAGGCTTTAGGACGCGTTCCCTCGCCTGCTCCTCAGGGCCTCTCTCCGGCTCCCCCTCCCCCGCTCTGCGCCTCCACTAGTGTTCCCTCTGCGGGGAACCCTCTGCCTGGGTCTCCTCTGACGCATGCCTGTGCACACAGACCCCCCACATGCATGAGTGCCTCAAACACAACCCCTGCCTGCCTGGCTCTGCCTCTCGGCCCAGCCCTTGGCCCCCAGCCCCCCTCCCGACCCCCCCAGCCTCCCCCCCAACCCCTGCCCTCCCCGGCCCCCCACCAGGCTCCCCCAGCCCCCCGCAGCCTCCCCATCTCCCCCCACCCCCCAGCTCCCTTCCAGGCCCCTCCAGCCTCCCCCCTGACTCCCAGCCCTCCAGGCCCTCCTAGCCCCCCCAGCCTCCCCATCTCCCCGCACCCCCAGCCCCTCTCTAGGCCCCCCCTAGCCTCCCCATCCCCGTGCCCCTCACCCCCCCTTCAACCTCCCCTCCAGCTCCCAGCCCCCAGGCTCCCTGCTCCCTTCATCCGCCCGCCCCTCTGTCCCCTCTGTCTGGTGTGGTGTCCCCGTGCTGGGCGATGGTGACTGAGCGCACCCTTCCCCAGCCCCCCAGGAGCCCCACCCTCGGCCGCTTGCTCCCCACTCACCCAGGCTTTCCACCAGGCCATCCTGCTGCCTCCCGATGGATCGGATCGCCTGTCCCCAGGGATGCGGAGCTGGGGGCGGCCTTCCCTCTCTCCAGAGTCCGCAGGACTGGCCCAGGCTGTCCTTTGGGGGGGGTGGCGGGCGAGCAGCTGCGGCCCCACCCAGCCCCGCCCTGCCTCCCCGCCCCCGCTCCCCCCCCCCCCCCCCCCGCACCTCCCAGCACCTCCCAGCACCTCCGAGCACCTCCCGGGCCTGGAATGTGCCGCCTCTGCCAGGGCGTGGGCTGGGCTGTTCTGTGGACGGGAAATCCCAGTCCCAGCCTTGGGACCCACGGGGCCCACAGAGCTCGCTGCCCGCGTGTCTGTCTCCCCTGGGGCCTCCCTAGGGAAGGAGGACAGCAGGCCCGCCAGCAGCAGGGGAACCCCGGCCCGGCTGCCCGAGCCCCCCCCCCCCACTGTCCTTGTCGGCCTCAAGCCCCGGGGGCAGGTGCAGTCCCTGCGCTGCGGGGGGACACACGCTCCGTGCCCCAATTCCTGACCCCAGTTCCTGCAACCCCGCCGCCCGGGGGGACCCTACCGCCCAGGGGAGGCCCAGCTCCCAGGGAAAGGGATGATTGTTCCCTGTCTGAAGCTGGCCCTCCCTGGGTCCCCTGACCAGAATGTTCCATGGCTGCTCTCTCTACCCGCTCTCAGCCGGGCTGCCCTGGGCCCTCGCCCTGCGGAGCCTCCCCCGGGGCTTCTGGGAGCCCTGCTGCCCTGAGGGAAGGGCCAGGGAACCTTTCAGAGCAACTCGCGTCCCTTGAGGCACAAGCCCCTGGCCTACCGACCCTCAATCTCCACCCTGCTCTCCGCTTGGTCTCCAGGCTGCTCCTCTGATGTGCGGGCGGGGGTGCACGCGCTGGGGGGTCGGGGGCACCCAGAGGGTGGCTATGCACAGCGCTGCACGATGTCACTGGCAGGGACGGTCGGGCCTGCAGAGGGGCTGCCCCCGGCTCTAGGGGCCCAGAATCCCCATCGTCCGCGGATAGGATGAGGTGCCCCCGCAGGTGGGGCTGGTTAGGGCTTCAGCTGTCCAGCCCAGGTGCATGTGCCTGCGCTGCGGCGAGCGTGCGTGTGTAGGGAGCAGGTCCTGGGGAGGAGCAGGCCCCAGGGAGAAGCAGGTCCCCAGGGAGAAGGAGGTCCCAGGAGGAGCAGGTCCTGGGAGGAGCAGGCCCTGGGAGGAGCAGGCCCCAGGAGGAGCAGGCCCCCTGGGGGAGGACTGGCATGCTCAGCCCGGAGCGGAGCCCGGAGAGCCAGGCCGGACGCGGGGACCAGGACTGGCCATAGGGATCGGTGCAGAACCACCTGGCCCTCCGAGGGCGACCGAGGGAGGGGTGCTCCATGCACAGTGACCCAGGGGGCCCCCGACAGGACCAGGCCCCAACAGCGCTTTCACTGTCTTCCCGGCCATCGTGAGCTCCCTCAGCCAGGACCTCACATTCCGTCCCAAGCCCACCTCTGGCTGCCTTTCTGGGACCCCCAGCACCCTTGCCATCCCTTCGAGTCTCGTTAGTGCCCCCAAGTGGCCCCCAGGACTCCTTCTTGGGCTCTCTGTGCCCCCCACTCCTCATCAGGGGCCCTGAACCATGGCTGCCCTCGGGAGTCACTTGGGCACCTCCCACCCCAGAGAGGACACCCTGGGGCCCCCACCTGCTCCTGCAGGGTCCCTGGGTCATCCATTGGGTCCCATGTACCCAGGGATCTGACATCCTGTGTCGTCCCCAGGTCCACTCTGGAGCCTGTCACCTGCCCGCTTGTGCCCACTTGTGCCCGCTGTGCCCCTGTGACTACTTCCCCCTCCTGAGGGCCTTTCCTCAGCCCTGGGGACATGTGCCCCCCCCCGTCTGAGCGCCCCCTACCCTGGGTCACTCAGCTAGCCATGGCCCTGGTGTCAGCAGGCGAGGCAGGAAGAGGCTGCCCGGAGCCACCCTGAGCCCAGCAGAGTGAGCCCCGGCCTGGGCGCGACGGGAGAGTCAGGGCCGCACGGGGGGTGGGGAGTGGTGGTGGTGGTGACTGCTCTGCTGCACCGGCCGCCCGATCCCCCGCACTCGGGCTGACAGTGTCCCGTCCCCACCAGCCACAAGGCTGCCAGAGGCGGGCCCGGTTCTGGGGGTGCCCGCATCCAGCCCAGCTGAGCTGGATTTCTCGGGGGTTACGATCTTCCTGTGGGGCGCCAGGGGCCAGCTGCAGAGTGTGCTCCTGGCAGAGGGTGATGGGAGCTTCTGTGCCAACACTCAGCTGAGGGGGGTGTGGGAGGGTGTGGGAGGGAGCCAGGTAGCGGGGGAGCCCAGGGGCCAGGGCGTGGGTGTGAGAGCAACCGGAGCAGAGGGGGCCTCATCTGGAAGGCGGGGTGGGCCAAGGAGGGCAATTCTAGGGCAGGGGTGCTGAGCGAGCTGAGTGCTCTGGGGAGTGAGGAGGAGGAGGAGGAGGAGGAGGAGGAGGAGGACGAAGAGGAGAGAAGAGGCAGGGGAGAAGGGAGGGGAGGCCAGCTCCTGGGAAAGCGGGTGGGGAGCGGGAGCTAGGGCACATGTGCGCGGGCCAACAACGGGGCCAACGTTAGCTGGGGGGAAACCCACACCCCGCCCACAGGGCTGTGATGGTTACTGCAAGGGCAGAAGAGGGCAGGTGGAGGGGTTGCTGGCCTGTCAGCAGGAGGGCAGTGTGCCCCAGGAGCGAGGTCAGGGGAGGTCAGGGGCTGCCAGCAGCGCCGCGGTGAAGGCCTGCAGGTCCCCGGCCACGCTCCCCCAGCCAGGCCTCGGGGCAGGCACCGGACTGCTCTGGCCAGCTGAGCACAGACCCAGGGACTTGGCCTGTCCCATCCAGAAGGCTGGTTCTCCGTCCTTGATCAGCCCCCTCCGTCCTTCCAGAACCTTCTGGAGAGTCTGCTGACTCTCGCTCTTAGCAGACCACTGGGTGGATTTCCCTCCGGGTGCCTGCCGCCACACACACACCCCCCCGCCCCCCCGGCCTGGTGGGTCAGCAGACGCGGCTTTGTTCCCCCATGGGTTGGCATTCAGGGCCTTCGCTGCAGCCTTTGACCACTGGGGATGAAGGAACGAGCTGCAGTGGCTGCAGCTTCTCATTCATTCCTCGTTTATTAATTTCCCGCTTCTGGTTTCCATCTCGGTCGGCAGGACCAGCATCTGCAGATCCGTCTCTCCAATTACTCCATTTTTTTTCTGCTTCAATTATGTCAGGTCACATTACATTTATAATTTAATGCTGTTTTAAAAACTTTGATCTTTAAACTCTGCCATTTTCATAATTAGTTGTTTTTGTCCTTGTAGTTTTTGTTTCTTTTAAATTTTGCTTGAACATTTCACACACTCTGATTTTAATTTCCTTTTTAGGCTGCTTTATTATCTCTACTTTCTGGGCTCTGAGTCTCTGTTTCTCTCATCTGTGGGCTCTCTTTGGGTAGAAACCTAGGATTTTTTTCCCCTTTGAGCTTATCTTCGCAGGAAATGTTTTCCATGAGGCCCCCAGGACCCTGGGCGGGGGGTGGGGGGGAGGTGTCCCCAGGGGGACAGGATTATGTTGGTTTTGCTGGAACCTGGTGGATTCCGTTTGTTAGATCCAGATGGACTTTAATGGCAGCGTCTCAGGTCAGATTTTCCCCACCATGCCCACCACACTGCTGACCCGGGACCCTAACTTCCCACTGGAGCATGGGCCACATGGCCTCTCTCCGTGTCCCGCTCTGGCCGGGGATGAAGATAGGGAGCATGGCCCCTGCCGCGGTGACACAGAAGGGAGTAGAGCTGGTCCTCTGCGCACCTGCACACCGAGGCCTTCAGCTCGTCGGGCCCAGACTCTTGACTCATAAATCTCGCGCTCGGGCGTTCAAGCCGCTCACTGCAGTGAGTTGACTTAACGTCAAGTTTCCTCTTCTTTCTCCTCCTCGTCTTACATCTGGGGCAATTAGGAAATGGCTTTTCTTATTGTTTTGTCTGGAATCTGTGTTAAAAGTCATGCTCGGCACCGAGGCTTCAGCGGAGGCGGGTGGGTGTGAACTTGTGTGGGCGCCCCCCATGCATGTCCCCCACCCCCCCACCCCACCCCGGGGAGCCTCCAGAAGGCCAGGACAGGCACAGGAGAGGCAAACACCTGGCTCCATCCATTGGGGTCAGAAGGTTCCCCCAAGCATGTGATGCAGAGACGGGGCCAGAGAAGTGTAGCCTATAGGAGTGAGACGACATGGGTGCTGGGCCCTGGGCCTGGGCTGGAAGGAATGACTGTGGGTGAGAGGCCCCCACGGGATTAAAACCAAGAGGCGGGAGTAATAAGTCAGTAAGCTGGGTGCTGGTGAGAGGGAGGTGACAGCCTGGGGCCGGGGTGCGCGGGGGCAGCAGCAGCCCGTGGCGCGAGGTCCTGGGGGGCACGGGGCAGATGGGTGCTGGGGCGGGGGCCGGGCCGGGGCAGCGGCGGCTTCCGACACGGGTGGGCCTGGCACTCGCGGGTGCCAGCCTGGTCCACTACTCTAATGGGAGCCTTGGGGGGATCAGATCACGTGTGTCTGCGCGAGGCCTGGGGCTTGGAGGTGCGCCGAGGGGTCAGGGCACTGCAGGCCCCTCCCCTCCAAGTACTCTGCCCTTTCTCCACGTTCCCAAGACATATCTGCAGAAAAGGACTATGTCGCGTCACCGTTGCCCAGATGACAGTGACACACGATGGGCATGCAGTCAACTGCGTGGTGACCCTGAGCTCTCCATGGCTCTACTGAGACTGAGGTTTTAAACCGGGTTCTTAAATGGGGCTGGTGGCCAACTGTGAGCTGTGAGCGCCATCTCCTGGAACAGCCTCTTGCCACCCCGGCTGCTGACCTGTCCCCGCCTTGTCAGTCAGCACCGGGCACCTGAGGCCCAGGCTACCAGGCGGTGGGAAGCCTGCAAGGACTGCCCATCCCCCGCCGGTGCCTGCTGTGCCCTGGGTGCCCAGGGGCCTCGCGCACTGAGCCCCTGCCCGCCCGGAGTGGGCGCCCACCCAGCCCCTGCGACAGTGGGCCTGCCCTGAACCTCCGCCCCTCATGGCTGCAGCCTTTGCTCGGGGGCCAGATTGCGTCCCGGGGATGCCCACCCAGCACCCGTGGCCGTGGGAAGGAAGGGTGAAGGTTCCGATTTCCAGTTCCAAGGAACTGCGTGTTTGCACGGAGAATTCAGGTCACCTTGGGGCTCACGGGCTGTGCGCGATACCGGGCACTGTGTCTGTCATGGGAGCCCCCAGATTCCCACAGGAGCTGAGGCCCCCACGGTCTTCAGCTCATTTGTCAAAGGGAAGGAGGAGTCCCCGAGGTCCCTTCCTGATCTGGCCTTCGGACCTGAGCAGTATGGTCCGCACCCGGCCCTGCCTCAAATTCCTAGAAAGCTGTCATGCCCAGCTGCCCCTTGGGAGCCCTCAGCATGCATGTGCCCGTGCGTGTGCACGGGTGTGTGTCGTGTGCGCGGGTCACTACACACATCACCACGTGCAGCCTCCACACAGCCTTGTCTCTGCAGAGGTGAGAGTAACCTGCCTGCGGTCACCCGGCTTGTCCCTGCCGTGGTGTCTTCACGGGGCCGTGTCCTCCAGAAGCCAGCCCTTGGAAAGGGACACCCGAGAGCATCAGCCGGTAATGGCCCTTGCGGTCTGGGCTGCACCCCTGTCAGGCACCCGCCTCGGCACGTGGCTCTAAGGGGATCGCATAGTTAGGTGAGCTCCCTGGGGGGGTCCCAACATGACTGGCGTCCTCCCACCGACACGGGACTCACGACACGCAGGCGGGAGACCCGTGGTCGCGTTAGACGAGGTGGCCTGGGTGGAGGCAGTGGCAGGTGCGGCCCTGAGGGTCGGGCCCCTTCTTGGGGCATCAGGGAGCCGAGGACGGTGGGAGCAGCGGTAGGAGCGGAGGGTGCCGGGCGCCCAGGCACAGCTGCAGGCGGCGGAGGCCCGGCTCAGCTCTGCTCACTCCCGCTCACTCCCGCGCCGGCAGGGGTCGCGGGGACAGAGCCAGCACAGTGCCAGGCCGTGGGGCGGGCTGCCACGGCCTCAAGTGCCAGAGGGTGGAGCTGGCTGGGGGCACGTTCCCACGGGCCCGCGCCGCCGGGGACCCCTGGCTGCAGAGGCACCTCCTTGGGCCCAGGCAGGCACGTCCACTCTGCGCCAACGGGGCCTGCGTCCATGATCCCAAGTGTCATCCAGGGGACGTCTGAGCTTTGCATCCTTCGCTCGGAGACAAGAGGGATGTCACCCTTGCTTCTGCGGGCAGCTCCCTGCGCCTCGGGCCGGAGGTGGAGCCCCGGGAGCTGTGGCAGGTGCAGCACTAGGCGGGCCTCGCTCCGTTGGGGGGGGGGTGGTTTGAGACCCTCTGGGCGGGGCTCAGGGCGCGGGGCTCATGGGTCGTCGGGGTTGGGGCTCAGGGCGCGGGCCGGGCGGCCCCCGTCGGCTCAGGGACGAGCGGGCACCGATGGGTGTTGTTCCCGCGGCCGCGAGGCCGAGGCTGGCATTCTCCACCGTGAACGCACGCCTGGCTTCCCTGAGGTCCTGATCCCGGTCCCGGTCCGCGCGGCCGCAGCTGCCCACCGGCAGCGGAACCGAGCGGCCGCCCTCGGCCCGGGCCCGCCGTGTCTCTAATTCCCTCTCCGTCCGCACACGCAGTGCCCCCCCCCCGCGTGTCCCGCACCGCGGCTGCGGCCGGCGTCTCCCCGGGCCTCCGAGGCCCCGCAGTGGGGCCGCCGTGGACGCCATGGCTGTGGGCTCAGGGGCGCGTAGCCTGCAGACCCCGCCCCCCGAGGTCCCTGCCCCACCCCTTCCCGTCTCCCCCCCCCCCCCCCGGGTCCCCGCCCCGCCCCTAGGATATCCCCACCCCCGGGAGGGCAGCCCCCCAAACCCCCCCGCGGGCTGAAGCCTCCGCGTCCACGTCCTGCATCTCGAGGTGCGGGAGCCCCAGAGCCCGCGTCAGTACCCAGGGCAGCCCGACATCAGCCTGCAGAGAACGGACGCACTGCTGGAGCCCCCAGGTGGCGAGGGCCGCTCGGCTCCGTCCTGTCCTGCTGGGCAGCGGACACACACCATGCGGCGGCGGGGACCACGGAGGGGGGGCACCGCCGGCGCTGCAGGGTCTCGGGCTCCGCAGGGCCGCCCTGACGGCCACCCCCCACGCACACATCAGCCTTACCGGAAAACCTTTTATTTCTTAAAGAATGACGGTCAACCCCATACAGACGACAAACCCCAGCCTGACATGGTGACCTACACTCATCTCCAGGAATTCCACCTGGAACCTTAACTACGACCAGCCAGGATGGGAGGGTGAAGGCGGAGGGACTTTCATTTCCTGTCAACAGGGGGTAGGAGGGCTGGCAGGACCGCAGGGGCAGCTCTACAGGCTCAGCGACACCTCAGGGTGTCTGCAAGGAGTCGCCGCCCGGCAGTCGCAGAGCTTTCCGTGCCAGTCTCCGTCTAGGGCACATTCAGGGCATGGGACACCCACCCCGGCCACCTGGGAACGTGCCGTGAAGGAGGTGAGACTAGTCAAATTCTGCATAACATTAGAGAAGGAGACAGCATCATATTCATATTTCAGAGACGTTGGGGGCTTTTTTTCAAAGAGCAGGATCTGGCCCCCACCCCCGGCGTCACAGGCCGTGGGGGCGGGGGGAGCCGTGTCCCCGCAGCAGCAGTACAGACAGCGGAGCGATGCTCTGCAGGCAACAGGCTTGTGCGGAGCAGCAACTAATTCCAGCTCCGCTGACTGTAAACCAAGACTCAATACAGGTGTCTAATTTAGTGCACAAAGGGCTCTTAATAATCTTGGGGTTTTGGTGTGTTGGAGGCTGGGCTACGGGGGCGGGAGTGACAGAGCGGTTCCGCAGAGGGCGCGGGGCGGGGGCAGCATCCTGGAGGGCAGCCGGGAGCAGATGCGGGGGGCGGGCTGGTACCGAGAGCAGCAGCTGCTGAGGGGGAAGCACTCCTGAGGGGCCGGGAGGCAGATCCTGGGGCCACAGGGCAGGCGCCTGCAGGGCTGGAGGCTGAAGTTGAAGCACCGGCGCTGCAGGAAGAGGATGCTGTCACTGAGCAGCCACTGTCAACGCACTTGCCTGCAGGCCGGGCCACAGTGCTCCTTATACCGTAGCCTGGATGGGTGTGGGCGGGCCTGCTGGTCCCCCCAGTCCCCGCATGGGGTGGGTGCACCGGGTGCATCTGTAAACCTGTCCCGCGCTCACTCACCCGGAGTGTCGGCTGGGGGCCGGGTGAGTCACAAAGGGCACAGGCCGCTGTGGCCCCAACTGATGCTTGGAAGAACCCCAACAAACCCTTCAGAACAGCCGGGCTTTCCCTCCCAGGGAGCAACACGACCAGAGCATCATACCTCAAAGCCCTGAGGCTCAGGTCGTAAGGAACCCGGGGCGCCTCCAGCCCAGCGGTGCACTCCCTAGGACAGGAGTCCAACGACAGGCCCAGAGGGGTCAGGACCCCGTGCAGGGACGCCCCCGGCAGGACAGTGAGACCGAGGGCTTGGCCGCCTGTCACTCCCTGGGCAGCCTCTACGGAGCCTCAAGGACACACACTTGGTCTTTTCTAAGCAAGTGTTCCTGCTTTTCCTTGCCCATCGCAGAGCGCCCGGGGCCACACAGCCCGCAGCACGGTGAGCACCCTGGGGAGTCCCCACTGTCTGCGTCCAGCAAGTCGCTGGATTGTTTATCCACAACTTCACCTCTATTCCGCCACCGGCCATCCGGGCCACCCCACCTCCTCCCGCCCAGGGCTCCTCAGCTTCAGGGCCTCGCCCTGCCCCCACTCCTCCTCCTGGGCCACCCGTGTCCCAGCGGCCTGTCCCAGCGGCCTGTCTACACTCCCCTCCCTGAGTGCCCACGGGCTGGCTCTGCACGCCCCTAGGCCCGGCCACACACAATCACGGCCGCTGCGGGGGCCCCAGCTCCCACCTCCAGCTGTGCTCCCAGCCCCAGGCTCCTGGCTCGCACCCAGGCAGCCCTGAGCTGCGGACACCGGGGCTGCTGTCCCTGCTTCTCTGTCTCACACGCCCACCCATTCCCAATGGCGCCTGTCATACACCACATTCTGGAACCAAACAGGGGACACTCAGGTCCATGGCCCCTGAGCACTGCGGCTGCATCCCTTTGTGACGCTGTGGTCAGTCTGTCTCAGGCCCATGGGCAGGGCCTCAGTCATCTGGCGGGACGCTCATCATCCCGCCCCAGGGTCACATCAGAAATTCCTAAACTAAAAAAAAAAAAAAAGAAAGAAATTCCTAAACTGGGGCACCTGGGGGCTCAGTGGTTGAGCATCTGCCTTCAACCCAGGGTGTGACCCCGGGGTCCTGATATAGAGCAGGGAGCCTGCTTCTCCCTCTGCGTGTCTCTCTGCCTCTCTCATGAATAAATTTTTAAAAATCTTAAAAAGAAACTTTTTGTTTTTAACGTGAACTTAAACTCAAATTCCCTGAGCACGCTCATCACAATTCCACTAAAGCACAACTAAGCCTGTGAGGTCCTCTGGGTGGAGCTACAATGGGGTCTAGGCTGCCACGTTCTCAGACCTCCTCCTCCAGCAGTGATAAAGGCTTGTGCTTTCATTACAGGTCAGGACACTTGTGTCGCACGTGTGCCTCGTACGCTGCTGGGAGGACAGTTTGGGATCTTTTGTGTTTCTAGCTCCTCTATTTCTGCTCATTTACTCCAGAACATGAACAGATTATTCTAGACCTAGGAACTGCTGTGGGACCTGACTTCATCAGAGGACTGGGGACCCTGTGCCGAGGGCCATCCTCTCCCCTATGCCAAGCCCGTCCCTGGGTGGCTGGGAGGAGGAGGGGCCCGGGGGTCTGGGGCTCCCGGAAGGGCACAGGGACCTTGCATTGGTGGTGCAAGTGGCCTGGGGCTCAGGGAGGGGGGTCTCCTTCCTCTCTGCCTCCCGACCACTTGCTGCTCTCGGCAATGACCAGCTACGTCCTACATCAGCTCAGTGCCACGGGACTCACTGGGACCCCCAAAAGGCCACTCTTGCTAGTCCCCACGGCTGGTGCTCTGGAGCACCGGCTCCACACTGCACTTGTTGCTGCTGCACGAGGAATGCGCATCTGTCCCCACACAGGCTCCGGCCTGTGTGTGCGCGACCTTGTGAGCTGTGGATGTGGTCGGGGGAGCCACTGGCATCACCATCCCGGTGATTGCTGGAGACCCTCGCACAGCCCCTGGCTGCACAGGGGTCAAGGTCAGCCTGCCTGCAGGGGTGGAGCCCTGCCCAGCATCCTCACACGCCCCTCCCTGGGGAGCCCCCGAGGCACAGTGGCAGGAGGCTCCTCCCCGTGGATGCATCATAAGGCCCCTCTGTGTCCAGCCGTTTCATCCTGAGGTCTGTGATCAGCTTATTCTGAGAGTAAGATACTGGTGCGGAAAACCGTTCGCACGTCTAACACACTGCACAGTGGACACACATACACTCCTCCTGGTTCTCTATCGTCTGGACCTTGTAACACAGGAGTGGGAGCACCGACTGCTGTGAGCACGCAGGTCATTCAGGGCCCTGCCTCCCCCTCCACAGCCCAACACACCGTGTCCCTCACTCAAAGGCAGAAGCTCCCAGTGGGGAGCCCAGCACTGGCCTGGACGGCTCAAGGGCACCACCTCTCCTATGTCGGCAGATACCCAGACACGGGCCCCGAGCCACAGACCCAGCGTGCCACTGTCACGGGCAAAGAGCAAACACGCCCCTGCCCGTGGGAGCACCCCTGGGCCCGCTCACCTTGTTCCTGGGCTGACACCACAGCAACGGCATCTGATTGCAGCATTGAACAAAGTCACACAAGGTATCCAGTTTGCCCTGAAAAGCAGACGTGACCGTGAGGGAGCTCCAAGGCACAGGGTGCCCTGCAGAGGCGTGGAGCATCCCTGGCGTGACGCCCCGGAGCGCCCTGGCCGTGGGCACACGCTGAGGTCGCCTCACAGCCCCCACGAGGGGCAGGGCCTGGGGCCGGCGTCGCTGCCCGTCACAGACAACCCTGGGACCTGGAGCACGTGCCCCTCATCCTGGGCGCCCGGGCCTCCCCAGCCCTGTGCTCAGGGCCCCCTGCAGGGCCGGGAGCCCCCTCAAGGACGGGGCCCTGGCAGGTCCCGGCGTAAGGACCTCTCCTTCAGGCCCCGACCTCCGGGAGGCCCTGGTCCCCCCACCTCACTGGGCCCCGAGGACAACGTTGTCAGCTCCGTCCTCACCCTGCGCAGCAGACTCCTGCTCACAGGTGCCGCTGGCATTTTTGGGTACTTTTAATAGGGGTGGGCTGCAGCCAGCCGCCCGCATATGCAAACCCGGAGCTGCCCAAAGGGGGACCCTGGGCCCCAGGATCGCGACGCCCTTTGCCCTCTGGTGCAAGGGATCAGGTCAGTGCCCAGAAAGGTCGTCTCCCCCAAAACCACGGTTCATGGGATGCATGACCTGGCTGTACCCCATCCCTCAGCGTAGCCTGGGGGTCACAGCACCCTCCCCAGGGCCCCTCTCACCTCTATCCGTCTCATCCCACCTCCTTGGCAAGAACAAGGGACAATAAATGTGGGGCAAGGTGGTGGTACACATCTGCCCATGGGCTCCTAGGAGGAGAAAGCACATTTTACCCCTTGGTCGGCAGCTTCCTGGTGCAGACACAGGGCATCTGTTGCCCCAGCACCTGTCAAACACTCGTCACTCAAAACGGGGTGAGGGAACTTGCAAGGACCAACGAGCAGCAGCCTGCAGATGACAGTGTTCTCAACGGGGCAACAAGCAAACTGCTTTGGTTTGTAGACACAGCTTCTGTTGCCCTTGGCGGAGAAGCCTGGTCGGGCATGCAGGCGCGGAGGGCTGTTGGGGGCACGTGCAAGGCACCGGGCTGCACCCACCTGACCCAGGCAGCTCCATTCTCAGCAGGTGACACTGCACCCTGTCCTTGAACCGCCCCGGGCAGGGAGGCCTGTGTCCTACCAGCTCTGAGGCTCAGGTACCCTGCTCAGGACGCGGTGTCCCCACCCAACTACTTCTCCTGGGGCTGGCCTGGGCCCCTGCCTGGGGATCCGCCGCCTGTTCCCCTGCCCCTGCTCTGTGCTCACCTGGGCGGGGCCTGCCTCACAGCTGGATGCCAGGTAACACACCCTCCAACCTCCCACCTGTGGTCCCTGATGTCCAACCCCAGCCAAGCCCCTCTCCCTGCCAGGGGACAGGGATGGAGATCAAGGAAATGCAGCCCAACATACACCAGAGCCGAACGGGGCATCTGGTCCTGAGGCCAGAGGCTCTTTTCCCAAAAACTCACATGAGACCTGGGGCAGCAGCGCCCCACACTGTCCGTGGGGAAGTGACAAAGCCCTGTTTCTTTGGGTCACTGTGCCTGCTGCCGCAGGCTACCTCCAGTGTGGGTTCAGGGGCCCAGGCCCCGGAGCAGCCACGCTGCTGACTGGGGAAGGGCTAGGGTCCTCGAGTCCTCCCCCAGGCCCCCTGCCCCCCGGGCAGGGCCCCCCTTTGCTGCCCTCTCTGCAGGTAGCTGGGAGGTGGCGGAGCCGGGGCGCAGGGTCCCACAGGCAGGATCCCCTGGGCAGAGGTCGGCGTGGGTGCCGAGCACGCTGACCATCAGGCCCAACGGCAGACTTACCCTTTGTATTATCTGCACTGCTGGTAGCTCCTTGCAAGGCTGGAATGTCAAAGAGACAGGAATACGGGCTGGGGGCGTGGGGGGCCGGCTCCACGTCACACAGGAGCCCTGCTCAGCAGCGGGGGGCACAGCAGGGGCTCCGGGGAGCCCTCTGCCACCCCGTGCCTGTGGGTCTTGGCCCAGCCGCTGCACCACCCTGAGCCTCAGGCTCCCAGGGCATCAGGGGGGCGGGACCTGCTGGAGGTTGGGCTGGGAGACGCGCCCTGGGGCGCCTGGTCCTTCCCGCCAGAGGCACCCCAGCCAGTGGTTAGGTCAGCAGTTTGTCCATCACGGTGGATGGGAGCACTCGCCCGCTCCCCCTCCTCCCACCCACAGCCTTCCTCCTCCCCGGCCTCCCCTGTGGGATGGCAGCGCCCACGCCCTCTCCGTGCCCGCACACCCCTCACAGCAGGAGGACCGCCTTGTCCTGCTTCTGTGCCCTGTCCTAGCCTCCCTCTGCCGCTTCTCCCCTTGCACCTGCTCTGGCCCCGGGCCTGGCAAACCCAGCAGCCAGGTGTCTGCCCCGCTCCCCCCCCCCCCCGGGGCCACTGCCTGTCCTCTGCTGGGGCTCTGCTTGCCATGCCCCTGCAGGTGACCTTTTTGCCTTCCAGCCCCAGGTACCAATAGCAGGGCAGACACCAGGCGGTGAGCTCCTGGGGGCCCGGCCGGGGGCAGCCGCAGTCCTGTCTCGGGTGCCCAGCACAGGGCCCACACCCTGGCCCTTAGTGATGGCTGAGGAAGATGGGCCGGACCCGGAGGACGCAGGCAGAGACCCCGTGGGTGTCCGGGGCTCACTGCCTCAGAGGCCAGGGATCCTCTTGGCCAGCAGGACCCCCCTCGGGGCCCTCAGTGCCCCCCGTAGGACCCGGCCCCTTCCCTCAGCACCAGAAGCCTCCACTGGAGCTTGGGGCCCGAGTCCTCCCGAAGCTGGGCTGCTGGGAGGCCTCCCTGGGGCCCGGGCCCTGCAGTGGCTTCTCCCCAGCAGCCAGGGCAGCTCACAGGCATTTGCAGAGACACGCCGGAAGCAGGTCCAGCCTTAGATAGGGGCGGAGTCTCTGCTTTGGAATAGAAGCGAGTACATGCCTCTGTATGCTCACGTGATGACCTGGGAGCTGATGGGAACCTGCCCACGGGCGGATCTCAGGGTGGGGGTGGGGGTGAGGGGCTGAGTCCTCGAGCTATTGGCATTGTCCCAGGAGATGGACTCGTGTCCCAGATGACACTCACCTTTTTGCAGCAATGTCGCCAGCAGCACCAAATAAGGAACGGCAGTAAAAGCAGGGCCAGCAGAAGCAGAGCCAGGCACAGAGGATTGACATTTGGCATATTTGAGGTGGCAGGCGGTGTGGGAAGATCGATGTGTGGAGTTGGTATTGGAGGAATACCAGTTGGCACTTCCACCGGCACATCCTACAGACAGCACAGGTGTCAGAGGCCCGGGGTGGGTGTGACTGGCTTGGGGGTGCAAGCCCTGTACCCTGCAGTCACCTCCTGCCTGCCTGCCCCAGTGGCCTCAGGTTTCCCCACCTGTAGAGAGCACAGAGCACCAGGAGGCTGGGCTGGATCCTGAGGCACCCTGGCAGCCCTGAGCCACAGATGGCCCCGCTGCCCCACTCAGGCTGGGCCCTGCAGCCCGACAGGGGATCCAGGGCCTCTGTGCTGTGACAAGGACAGTCCTCCCCGCGTGCCTCGGCTGACGGCGGCATGGCCATGCCCGGAGCCAAGTGGTCTGCTTTCCCAGGGCCAGGGAGCGAGTGGGGAGCTCGTCTGAGCCCCGGGGATGGGGTGGCTGATGGGAGGCAGGGTCGGGCCCGTGGGGCTATGGGGGGCTGTGGCTCCTCCTGAGTCCCCCAGGCATGTGCCTGCCGAGGGCGGGCTCTGGGGGCGGGTGGCTCTGAGGGGCAGGTGCGGGCACCACGCAGGCTCAGTCAGGGGCCTGTCGGCGCTGCCGGGACCCTCCCGGGCCAGCACTGGATGCTTTGTGGTGGCAATAGGGCATGGCCGCCCTCCTCCCAGGCACGGTCTTCCCCACTGACACTGTCGCCCATGTCCCGCTGCCCTGCCCCCGTGCCCACATGACCTGCCACTCCGAGGAGCGGGCACCTGGAGGGGCACCTTCCTTTCCATGGGCCTGTCCCTGAGCAGAGCCCCCGGCCCTCCACGCAGCCCTGGGGCTTCCCCCCGTGGCAGGACAGCAGGGGCCTTCAGAGGTCAGGACAGGTGGTGCAGGACAGCTGAGGAGCATGAGAAAGCCACAGAGGCAGGGGAGGCTGAGGCCCTCTGCCAAACAACTGGGGGTGCCCCATGAGGGCCTGGGCTCGGGGCCGTCAGCAGCTGCCCCACGCCTTGGAAACACACCCGGGCTGCACAGGCCTGCGGCTGCCCCCCCCCCCCCCCCCGCAGACCTCTGCCTGCGGCCTGGGCCTGCAGTGCCCCAGTATCCCCCAGGTCCTGGACTCGGCCCCTCACACACAGCGCCCAGCCGGGATGCAGGGTGGGGCCCCGAGCTCCCCTGCACTAGCCTGGGCCGGGGCAGGTGGCGGGGGGGGGGGGGGACAAGCAGGTGTCACAGCCTCAGCACCATCTCTAGAGTCTGCTTGGAGCTCTGACGGTCCCCTTCCTGTGCCCCCAGAACCCTTGGCTCACAGAGTGTCTGCAGGGCCTGCACAGGGGGTACGCGTGGGGAGCTCTCATGAGGTGCTCTAGGGCAGCTCCAGCCTGAGTGTGGGGACGGCTTGCTGAGGAAGCACTGGGGGCCCCGGGCGGCCTGCACCAGCCACTCCCCCAGATCCTCGGTAGTGAGCCCTGCTGACTCCCCGGGTGTGTGCTCCTGCAGCACGGCCCTCTGAACAGCCCAGGAGGGAGGCTGCAGCCTTACCCTGGCAGTCACACAGTTCTTGCTGGTGATGTTAGCATTGCTCTTGATGAAGTTGATGCCGTTATTCAGGCTAACTTCAACGAAGACCACCCTAAAGAACAGAAGTTTCGGAAAGTGACGAGCAACCCAGAGAGGCCGTTCTTGCACTTGGGCCCAAACCACGGCCCACAGCTCCTCTCAGTGTAGTGACTTTGGTCGTTAGGCATTGGGGTCCCCGGGGAGCACCTAGCAGGGGAAGTGGGGATCAACCCGTACAGTGAACCCTAACCAGGCATGAGGAGCCTTGTGTGGGGCCTGATGCCCTCGAGGCCACGCACTAAATCTCCAGGGGTAGTGGCCTGGTGTCACCTGATTCCTCTCCGTTTACAGAATTGTTGGCTTAGCTGCAAACAGCTGTGTGGAGCAGGGGTATGGTCCCCGGGCGCATCAGTCTTGTATCTGCGCTCCTCAGGGGAGGCCGGGGCACAAGAGATCCCTGAGCAGGTTGTGTGACCAACAAGACAGTGTAGGGAAGGCCCTGAGCCTCAGGACAAGAACACGTGCTGCCTCCAGAGGGGCCTCCACCCTCCACCTACTTCAGGGCAACGATGGTGAGGCCGACTTGAGTACTTACTCATCTGGATTGTCTATTGTTACTCCTGGGCACATCACGGTGGTGTCGTCCACAGTGGCCGCTTTTTTATCTACGAGAGAATCAGGAGGGAACACTCAGTGGGTGCGGCCATCCCCCTCCTCCCAGAGCTCACTCTCTGAAGCACACACTGGCTCTCTTCCTGCCCTCCCCCCCCCCCCCCCCCCGCCCTGGTGCACCAGGCCCCTGGCAGTGCTCCGGTTGGAAGGGAAAGGGCCCGTTCCCAAGGACCTCGCCTGGGAGGGCCTGGAGAGAGGAGGACTGTGAGATAAGCAAGAACAAAAGAGTGACAAGTGCAGAGTGACAAGTTCTGCCACAGCAAGAAGCCCTGGGAGGCCCCAAGAGGGGAAGGGGAGGCTGACCCCACGGAGACGCCGACCTGTAATGACGTGCTGGCCGCAGGCAGCTCTGGCTTGACCAGAGGGCCCTGAACACCATGTACTGGGGTCCAACGGCCACGGGGGCGGGGGGGCTAACTGGAGGAGCTGGGCAGCACACAAGGGGGCCCCAGCCCCACCTCTGGGGAGGGCCACACGCCCTCCACGCTGAGAGCACATCTGCCTGCCGCTCGTGGCTTCCTCAGGCCACCCGGCCAGCACCAGGATCCCGGAGCCCGGGCCTGGCAGCTGGCGCCCTCTCTCAACCCTGGGACCGTGCAGACACTCCTGGGAAGACCCGTGCACCTGGCCCCGAGGGAGCCCCCGGCCTGGGGTCCTTGCCGCTCAGGGTAGGAGGGGCGCGCAGCTCTGGGGCACGGGTGGCAGCCAGAGCCCCCTGGCAGGGGTGAAGCCCTGCTCCAGGAGGCTGTGGTACTGCTGGGGGCTGAGGACCGCCCAGCTTCGGGTCCAGGTGGCCAGGTTCCCAGCAGGGGGCCCTGGCACTACGTACACAGCCCTATGCTCACCATGTCCACAGTGAGGGGGCAGTAGGACTCCGGAGGCCTGGCGGCTGGGGGAGGGCAGCCCAGGGGGAGGCAGCCCCCGGGGGTGGGGCATGTGTCATGTGGAGGCACCAAGGGGGCTGCTTACCATAGAACTTCTTATCCATGAAAACAAATCTACAAATAACTTCCTGCGGGTTCCTTGCATTATTAAAGCCTCTTCCAGACACCATCAGTTCATAGTTTTCTGTAAAGTCAACGAACAAACCTCTGGGTGAGGTGGGACTGAGGATCTTCAGCTCACATAACACACGACCCCCAGGTGGAACTGAGGAGTGTCTGTAAATGAGCACAGGAGTCCAAACAAGATGTGTTTTCTCCCCGGGGCCGGATCGTCACCTGGTGCCACCAAAGTCCACTCTGAGCACGGAGGGAGCCCCAGGTTCCTGGGGGACTCACACTACCCCTTACACTTCGAGCCCATTAAAGGCTCCCAGCCTCCTCTGCTTATGCTATGATCTGGGACCCCACAGAGGAATCCCCTGGGGACAGAGAAGTCCTGTCTCAGCCGCGGTTCTGGAAGTCTGCTGAAGATTATGCTTCCCCTGAGCCCCCACCCTGGGGTTAGGGAAGTGTTTCCCCTTCACGTGGACGCACGACATACTGGGGTTGCCAGCACCCCCCGGCGCTGAAGCCAACAGCAGAGAGGCCAAAGAGGGCCGCTTAGGGCTTGGCCTGGAGCCAGCAGGTGACGGAGGGGTTTCCGGGGAGCCCCGGGCACTCAGCCCCCACCTTGGCCGCAGCTCCCAGCCAGCCCAGTACATCCCCGCGGTTCACTCCGCCCTTGCTCGGTGACTCCCCGGGCTGCACAGCAGCAGGGCCTTGCAGGGCCGCCGGCCTCTGGGCTTTGTGCCGCCTGCAGAGCAGGGCGGGGTTCCGAGTCCTCTGCCTACTGCTGGGACTTCAGGCCATCCCCCCCCCCCTGCCCCTGCTTCCAAGCTCAGGGGTGAACGTCCCAGAGAAGTGGCTTCTGGGACCACGGGAACACCTGCCATCCCAGGGTCTGTGTTGCTCCGCTTCAGCCTGGGGGCTCCCCAGGGGCCAGCGCCCCCCTTAGGCAACCCCCTGCCCGCGGCCCAACACATGGGGTCTGCTGTGACACAGCTGTCCTGCGGTCTGCTCATGGCGCCAGCTGGCCCCAAAGGACCGCTGAGGGAACTGGCCGGGCAGGCTGGGTTGGATGTCCCTCAGGGATACGTCCTGTCCCCCACGTGGAGCCCACACTGTGCCACTGCTGAGCCCGACGGTGCCAGGCTGTGTGCTCACTGCTCACCCGTCAGGCCCCTTCCTTGCAACACAAGCCCTGTAGGGCCACGAAGCGCTCGGGCTTGTCCCCTATGAACCCTCTGGCCTGCCCAGCTAGGCCACCTGGGCACGGCTGCCGCCCTCGGCCCACGGAAGCCTCGTTTACAAGCTGCATTCGGGCATGTTCTCTCCCTGCAAGGCCGACAGGCACGCTCTCACCCCCATGTGCTTAGACGTGGGCAGAGAAGGGAAATCGGGCGGCATGTGGGTACGCCGGGCTCCAGAGGAAGAAACAGAGGGCAGAGGCTTCCTGCCCAGCGAAGGAGCACAAGGGAGCAGACATGGGCAGCTCCGTGCCAGCCCGAGGCGTGGAACATGGCATGCAGCCCCAACTGTACCACCCGCTAGCTGAGCATCTCCCGTGGGCCCACGTCTACTTCCCTTCATCTTCCAGGTCCCACAAGCTCGGCGTCACTCGCCCAGTTACAGGGACGGAGCCGAGACCAAGAAAGGGCAGGTGGCTTCTGCTGCGCTCCAGGGAGGATCTCGGGGGCCCAGTGCAGCTCCCACCTGTGCCCCCCGTGCCCCCGTTCCAGGTCTGAGTTGCTCCCCTGCAGCCTCTACAGGGAGGAGCCCCCTCTGATCCCCAACAGGGTCCTCAGCTCCACAGCTGGGAGTCCTGAGCCTCAGGGCCCTGAGGAGACCTGGCTACTGGCAGGCTCCTGGGGAAGGTGGGCCAGTGTGCTTGTGGCAGCATGTGACAGGGGAGGTGGGGGGTGGCCTCTGAGGGCAGGGCTGCCGACGGCCCGGGACCCCCAGGGCCTGCGCCCCTCGGGGAGCTCGCACGCTGCCCGTCTGCCCGGGCGCCCCCTTCCTACGGTGTGTGCCCTGCGGCCCTGGGGGCCCTGCACAGTCGTCACCCCAGCTCTGCAACCGTGCCATCTGTGCCGAGGCAGTGCCGCTCTCATGGGATCCTGTCACTCTAGGAAGACTTGGCGCATTGAAGGAAGGCAGGGTGAGGTTCCAGATTTTGAGCCGAAGGCACATGGCGATCAAGGAATTCCCTCAGCATGGGGGGCTGCTCCTGCCCCTGCAGTCTCCCCAGTCCTCCACCATGAACGGCCCGGGAAGACAAAGAAGCCCAGTGGGGACCCTCACGACCTGTGGGAGCCAGATCCCCCTGGGGCTGCTGCACTGCTCGGTGGTAGCTCGAGGGCCTTCGGCCCCGGCAGGGAGGAGGCGGACCCTCCAGGGTGAGAGCTTTCTCTTGGGGCAGGAAGCGCCCGGGGAGAGGAGCTGCAGAAGCGCACAGCTCCCTGAGGAGGTCGCAGGCAGCGGAGCAGTCCGGACAGCAACCCGCTCACCAGGCCCCCACGAGGGCCCCGAGGGGAGTGACTGCCCTGGGTGGACCTGGGGGGCTGCTCAGCCCTGTCCTCAGAGCTTGAGCCGCAGGGTGTTTGCCGCCTGCCGTAGCCACTGATGGAGGACAGTTGGAACACCGAGCAAGGACGCGGATGAAGGACGTGAGCTCCATCTGCATGACGGAACGTGTGCGACAAACGGAGGAGAGTACGTCCCTCACAATCCCGTTCATGGATGGACAGCCCTGAGAAGCAGGCTGGGACAGCTGCGCGCACGTCCCTCATCACTGCCTCTGGGAGGATCTGTGGTCTGCAGCAGGGCTGCGCCTCGGGGAGCCTCCTCACGGGGCAGTGGGGGGACAGCAGCTGAGCACACTGGCTGCAGGGGTGTCCCCGACCCCACAGTGGGGCCCGCGTCCCCCCTGCAGGTTCCTCCTGCCCTCACAGCCTGCACCCGCTCCACCCCGAGGATCCCCCGCCGCCCTCGGGACCTGCCCACTGGATCTCAGAGGAGAGCCTCCTCTGCCCCGTGTCCTCCTAGGTGCCGCCCCGGATGGGCCCTGCTGCTGGGCTGCTTGACACCCTCGCTCGGGGCCAGACCCCTGCAGGACAAGGAGGGACTGGGTGCCAGCGACTTCCGGCCTCGGAGGGAGAAAGCCCAAGCGCAGCCCGCACACGCCCAGGGCGAGGACTCTCCCAGCCACTGTGCCGAGGATCCCAAAGCCAACAGGATGTCCCAACACCGCGTTGGCACCACAGGCATCCCCGGGACGACTCCGCAGGAAATCTGAGGGGCGCTCGGAGGCCTCAGAGGCGGGGGGCTGCGCTCCGGAGAGTGGCCTGGGGCCACCGCGGGGGCCCTGCCGGGTCGGGGCCGCAAGCTCGCGTGCGGGGCGGTGTGGACGGCGGGCTGGATCCGGCCTGGAGGCCTCGGCGCCCGCCCGGTCCCACGGGGCTCAGACGGCCGGGCCCGGGCTCCGGGGCGCGCTGAAGGACTCCGAGGTCGAGGGACGAAGGGCGGGGTCCGGGGTCCGGGGTCCTATCCGGGCTCGGCCTCCGGGCGTCAGGCCGGGCGGCAGCGGCCTCACGGCGGCCACAGCCTCGAGGTCGGAGTGGGAAACGCGGAGCTGCGCTGTGAGGGCGCGGAGACGCGGCGGGGACGCGAGGACTGACGAGGCGGCCCAGGTGGGGGCGGGGCGTCCGGGAGCGGCCGCGGGGCAGTGAGGCGCTGGGACGGCCGCGTGCTGTCGCCGGCAGCAGGACGCCCCCCTCAGGATCGCCCGGAGGCCGGCGCGGCGCACAGGAGCGGGGGGGGGGGGGGGGGGGGCGCCGTCGGGCCCCGTCAGCGCTCCGGTCGCTCCATGTCGCTCTGGTCGCTCCGCTCGTCGCGCGGCCGTCAAAACCACAAGGCTAGCACCGGGGCTGCTCAGCGCCCCCCCCCCCCCCCGCCCGGGTGCGGCGCCGCCGGCGAGCCTCCCTGGGGGCGGCCGCCAGGGGGCCTGATGCGCCGGCGGCCTACCGGGGTGACGCACGTGGCCCGAGCGTGGGCGGCGCGGGGGGGGAGGAGCGGAGCCGGCGCCTCAGTCCCCACAGCCCGCGGGAGGTCCGCCCAGAGCGCCAGGAAGCCCGGGCGGGGGCGGGGCCGAGATGGGAGCGCGGGCACGCGGCCCCTCAGCGGCGCTCGCTTGGACGGTGCGGTGCGGGGTCGCGGGTGCCCGGGCCCCACCCGCGGGCCGTCGTGCGCGCGCCTCTTCCGCGCCTGCTCTCTCCCCGCCGCTCGCCCGAGATCTCAGTGCCTCGCCAGGGCAACTCCCCGAGGCGGCCGCGTCAGGACGCGCGTAGGTACCCCGCAGGGCCTAAGCTCACGCGGCCGCGCGCGCATCGCGTCACACACCGAAAACACAGTTAAACACGTACCTGCGTGACAGTCCTCGGTGCACACGCTGCGCGGACACGCCTCCTCACGCCCGGCGCTCAGCCACCGTCCCGCGCGCCCTGCACGCACACGACGGACAGCACGCCCCGCACGCACAGCACACCCTGCACGCCCCGCGCGCCCCGCACGCGCAGCACGCCCCGCACGCCCCGCACACCCTGCACGCCCCGCACACCACGCACGCCCCGCACGCGCAGCACGCCCCGCACGCACCGCACACCCTGCACGCCCTGCACACGCAGCACACCCCACACGCGCAACACGCACATCACCCTCCACATGTGCAGCACGCGCCACACGGCCTGCGCACACCACACGCCCTGCACGCACGGCACGCACGCGTCCTGCACGCACGGCACGCCCCACACGCACACGTCCTACACGCACAGCACGCACAGCACGCCGCCACGCACAGCACGCCTTGCAAGCACAGCACGCCCCGCACTCACATGTCCTACACACACACACAGCACGCCCCGCACGCACACGTCCTACACGCACAGCACGCACCGCACGCACACCTCCTACGCGGACAGCACGCACAGCACGCCCCCACGCACAGCACGTCCCCACGCACAGCATGCCTTGCAAGCACAGCACGCACAGAACGCCTCGCACGCCCCGCACGCACACGTCCTATGTGCACAGCACGCACCGCACACACACGTCCTAGGCGCACAGCACGCACAGCACGCCGCCACGCACAGCACGCCTTGCAAGCACAGCACGCCCCGCACTCACATGTCCTACACACACACACAGCACGCCCCGCACGCACACGTCCTACACGCACAGCACGCGCCGCACGCACAGCACGCCCCCACGCACAGCACGTCCCCACGCACAGCATGCCTTGCAAGCACAGCACGCACAGCACGCCTGCACGCCCCGCACGCACACGTCCTACACGCCCCGCACGCCCCGCGTGCACCGCACCCCCCGGCTTGTGGCTGCAGCTCTTACGTCCGGCACAGAAAGTGGAAGGCTCCAAATTTGTGATTTCAATACAAGACTTAGCGGTGAGCTGCAAGAGAGAGGGGGGGCGGCTGGTGAGGGGCCGCGGGCCCCGCCCCGGGCCCCCCTTCCCTCCCTTCGCTCGTCCCGCACTCACGGGCTCCACGATGTCTTGTAGCCCCTTGAAGCCGTTGTCCACCGCGAACACGTGATCTGGGCTGTCCGCGATGCTCAGCAGCTGCGACACAGCGGCCGGGGCTGCAGGGCGCAGGGGTCCCCGCCCCGGGGGCGCCCCCCCACGCCGGCCTCTGCCCCCCGCCCGCCCTGCCTGGTCACGCGCGCCGCGGCCCCGCGCGGTTACCTGGTCCCTGTGATAGTCCATTACACCGATGGAGTAAATCGTTGCCCCCAGTTGCCGGGACTTCTCAGCCTGATGGGAAGGAAGCGCTGAGCACAGGTCTCGGCGGGGCGCGAGCGGGGCGCGAGCGGGGCGCGAGCGGGGCGCGAGCGGGCGGGGCGGGCCGGGCGGGCTCACCTCTATCTTGGTCTCCTCGTAGGGCTCCGGCATCAGGGTCCCGTCGGTCAGGGCGATGATCATGCTCGGAAGCTTCTTGTCTGCGGAGGCGGCAGGGGGCATCCTGGTCAGCCAGGCCCCCAGGGCGACCCCACAGGCTGCCCCGCCCCCCAGTCCTGCAGCCCAGAGGCCGCCCCAGGGGCCCGCCAGCAAGACGCCCGGAGGGACAGGAGGCTGCAGCCAGGACCTGCGTGACCCGGGGCAACACTCAGCCCTTCCCTGACCCTGCCTCCTGAACCGGCGCCGTGACCAGACGTGCAACCGTGGCCCGCACGGTGACCCCAGCCACGTCCCTGGACAGGCGTCAGCCTCTCAGGTGAGCAAAGGGACGGACAGCCAGACTCGACTGTACCAGATGCCCGCAGCGCAGTGGGAAGCCTGGCCCTGGCTCCGGCTCCGGCTTGGGGCAGCACCTGCGGGAAGTCCTGCCGGGTCTGCAGGCCCAGGGGTCCACTCCTGGGCTGCGGGGCCCCCGCCAGCTCAGCGCCTTTCCCCACCAGGCCCTCCTTTCCTGGCAAGGGCTGCCACCCCACAGTCCAGATGACTGTTCTGGCGGAGAGCAGCCTCGTACAGTGTTGGAGACACAGTCACGGGACAACGTGTGCCAAAGGGAAGGGACTGAAGGGAAAAGGGATCAGGGCCAGAGATGTGATCACATAGTGTGGGCAGCAAGAGGGAAACCCAGCACTTTTTTTCAAAAACTGGAATTTTGTCTGCTGCAGGTCCCCCGGCTCCTCCTTTCTTGGCGAGGCAGCCAAGGGTAGGTCACGCACCTCACGGTTACCAAGAACTAAGGAGGTACGTGCCCGGTCCCAGGGCGTTTTGGGTGGGGGTGGGGGGGTTCCATCCTTGCTGCACAGAGGAGAAAGCCGAGGCCCAGAGAGGACAGCACCCTGCTCCATGGCTCAGTGCCGGGAAGGGGCCCATGAGGGCCGCCTCAGACCTCGCTGGCCCGGGCCTGGCTCTGTCCCCACACCTGCCCACAGTGAAGTCACTGGGCAGCTCACCTCCAGAGTTTGCCTCTTCGATCTGCTCGTTTACCTGCAAGGAAACAAAGCAGCGTTGGGGGAGGCCAGTGAGAGGACCCAGGAATGCTGTAAGGACGCCACAAAGCACAGGCCCTCAGACCCCGGGACCTGGTACCTTTATGAATCCTTCCTGCATGTGTGTGGCTCCCGTAGGCACTATGTTCTGGAGCTCAGCAAGACCATCGCGGATTTTATTTCTGAAAAAATCAGAAAAGGGCTTGAGGTATGATTTCGGGTGGCTCAAGCCATCCCGGAGCTGCTAGGCCCTGTGTAGACCTGTCTGGCTGAAAAAGGACATAGGCCCAGTAACCTGGTCATGACCTCTGCCCTTGACACTGACAGGCCCTGCTCAGGCCTCCTCTCTCCTCTGTCTGGTGAACAGCTGGAGGGATGCTACTCTGCTGGTTCATGGCCATGATCTGGCTTTCCCTGCGCTCCTTACTCTCTCAGGCACCCCCGGGCCCGGCCCTGCCTGCCCGTGGTGAACATGGGGCACCCTCACAGGCCTGCCACTGGCAATCTGCACTCACAGGATGACTGGCTGGGCTGCTAGAACCCACTAGGTGCCCGAGAAGGCACACTATCACTATCCTCTAACAGGTGAGGCTGAGTTTGGGGACAGTCATCCTGCTGTTACTCGAGCCCTGCCCTGTCTTCCCCTGCCTGGTCCCTTCCCTTTCTGGATTGCTAGCTGCTTAGAGCACTAGGGCTCCTGAGTTCATGTGCTCCTGACGAAAAGGCCCAGTGCTGGGGAAGTGGCCCTGAGGGCTGTCCCTGCAGGTGGAAGAGCAGTGACTCCAGGCTGCGGCTGGCCTCTGGTCAGGCAGCTGCTGCTAAGGCAGGTTTCAGAGGTGGGACTGGGCACAGGATGGGCTGGGGGCTTAGGTTCCAGCCAATCCCTGGTGACCAGCTGAGCTGGCCTAGTAAGGTGAGGACTGTGTGCGCCCCAAGGCTTCTCACCATGGGGACTGGAGATGTGCTGAGAGCCCCAGCCCCGCCCGGGTTGTGAGGCCTGGGAGCCATGGCCAGTGGGGGCTGATTCAGGTGCTGGCTGCCCAGCAGAGCCCTCTCCCCGCTCCTTACTCACCCCGTGCTCGAAGGTTATGCCCCCAAGGACGGGGAACTCTCTGCTCCCCAGTGTCTGGCCCATGAGCCCCAGGCCAGGTGGTGTTCTTGCCCAATAGGCTCCCTCCAGGGAGCACTGTCTCTCCAGCTCTGCTCCCAGCACTGCGCATGGAAGGGGCCCCAGGTTCTGTGTCCTTGGTGGTCCCTCTTCTTCTTTAATACCCATCTCAGCCCTGGGGCCACTCCATCTCTGCCCTGTGGTCACCCTCCTGCCAGCAACCCTGGGGCTTCCTAGCCCCTCTGCCGTCTGGCTTCTCTCCATGGTGCTGACAGGGCTGCCGGGCCCCCAGGACTGCCACATCCAGCCCTAAGGGTGCTTGTTTACTAAACCTTGTTTAGTACTTCACCCTCTGAATTGGGTTCTAGTAATTTGTGTGCCTCGAGAATTTCCGCCCCCTTCACCAGCTACCCAAAAGCTCTATATCTTTCCCACTTTCAGGCCTTTGGGCAAACTGCTGGGCCCATCATGGCCCATCTAGCATGGGGGCAGGTCATGCCTTCCTCAGGCCAGTGTTCAGGACCCACTCATGGGCTTCCTTGTCTCAGACCCACTGAGGAACCAAGATCCCCTTCACTGAGACCATCAGTACCTTGATGCTGCTCATTCTTTTCTCCCTGGTTATGACTTCGTCTCACTGGTGGCCCCACTGGCTCAGGGCAGAGAGTGACACGTAATAGCAGGTGCTAAATGCAGGTCACTGTTAGTAAAGGAACCGCACACCTGCTCCATACATTTTGGGGAGTCCTCACAGCTAGCCTGTTCCGAGAACAGGTAAGAATGCAGAGAGAAGGACTCAGGACAGGTAAAAGGTAGAGCTTAGGGAGCAGAAATGACCTAGTGGCCCTGGTTGGCCAATGTGAAAACAGCCAGGGGTCAGAGAGGGCTGGCGAGCCAGAGCTGGGGGTCAGGGTGCACAGTGAGGGGAGCCCAGGCCAGCCCAGCCTGCACTCCAGTGGGCTCCCCACTGCGGTTTCAGGGATCCCACTAGTTCCCTGGCGTTTTCTTGTAGTCTTGCCCACTGGCCTGCCTTGGGGGTCAGAGTATCACTTACTTATCTGACGTAAGTTTCAGGAGCGTGTGGCCATCTGTGGAGTAAGTGACGAAGGAAATCCGCACATTTGGGCTGGGGAGAAAGCACGTGCTTTTGAGAAGTCATAGTAACAAGCTCAGCATGATGTCAGTGAGTAATCAGGGAGGGGGCACATGACAGTTCCCCTGTCCCCACCCTAACTCTACTCCTTTGGAGCCAATTTCCAAACACCAGACCTTCCTATAACTTTAGTGAGGGATTCAGAGGCCTGTAAGACATCTGGCTTTTCTGGAAGAGTGTGCCGGAGGAGCATCTGGATCCACCCTTATACTCGCAACACCCCAGTAGTGAATGTCTGTCTGTCTCTTTCTGTGTGTGCATGTGTGTGCACACACATGCCCACGCAGGTGCTCACACAGACAGCTGCATGCACAAGGAGACAGACCAACATCTACACACGCCCACAGGAGGAGCTCCCACCTGGCCTTTCTTCTGTAACATTCTTTGGAACTTCACTGTCCTTCCTTCCTTGCCTGCCTTCCTCACCCCAACTCTTCTTTCAAAGAAATGATTTTCCCTCTTGGCAGCCGTTCATCTATATTCCCTTCCTTTCCTGCTCCTGGCTATTGTCTTCTGGTCTGCTGACTCTCATTATCCTGGGCTAAATTGGTACCATAGGTCCCTAGCTGAGCTCCCTACTGCTCTGGCTCTTGTTCCCACTCATTTTACCCACTTTTGTTGGATTTTTCTTCTTGCACAACTTGATCATGTCAGACTCTTAAACAAGAATCATCTGTAGCTCCTTAGTGCTCATAGCAGGAAATCTAGGCCCCATGGCCTGGCATTTTGAGCTGTAATGGCCGTAGCTCCAAGCTGACATGCCCAGCCTCATCTCCTAGCCCTCCCTTGAGGTAACCCTACTCTGCAGCCAAACAGACCCTTCGCTCCCTAAGAAGTCTCCTTGATGGTTCCTGTCCCCCTGTCTTTCCCACCCATGGAAACCTACTTAACATTGCCACATTTTCTGGGAAGCCATCCTGAATTAAAAGTCTTCCTTTTCCCTTAAGCTTATCATATACATTCTTTGCCTTTTTTTTTTTTTGTCCCTGACACCAGCTGTTTAATTACCATGCTACTTGTTTGCCTGTTTCCTAATCTGTTTGGTTCTCAGGGCATATTACTGTGTCCCTATAAGATGGCCTGACTCTCAGGCAGAAGCCACATAAAGCTGCTGAGACCCTTGGAATCACTGTGATGTGGCCTTTCCTGCTTCAGAACTTCACTTTGGGCTCTGTGTTCCCAGCTGGAGGGACTCCCATGCCCACCGAGTCTAAACAGGCTCCGTACTGGGTCTGGCAGAAGAGAACACCCTATTAACACAGAGAAGCCATACTTTTCAAACTTATTGACCAAATCTTCCACAAGGTTGTAAATGTCCATCCAGTTGTTGTCCACACTGCCTGACCTGAAAATGAAGAAACATGAGTCAGAGAGAGGAGTTATATCTGTCATGTAGGAATAGTTTCTGCCTTCTCTGGCTTCAGGGAGGCCCGTTAGCAAGCTCCTCACCCACGTGGTTGATGCCCGCCACACACCCTCAGTGACCTCAGGGGTGACTTTCATCAGTGTGAATCCTGGGAAGGTTGTCTAGTGACACCTGTGTACTTGGGACTGAGGGACTTCTAAGAATGAGGGACTTCTGGTGGCAAACCAGGATGTTTGGTCATGCTCAGCGGGGGCTGTTGGACAAATGAAGGAGGGTGCGTTGGTTGTCAAAGCCAATTTGGATTTGACAGGCTCTCTTGGTTGTTCATTGTCTCCCAGGTGTCTTCCCCTTGAAGGTGTGTGTGATTGGGTGGGAAGCAGAGGCCTTTGGCACCACATCTCCACAAAATGCTCCTGGCTTTTCCTTTCTGTCATTTCTTCTGCTTCCCCTAGGCTACATCTAAAACTGTTAGTAGATGGTAAGGAAACTAAAGATAGATGTTTCTAATTATGTCAGGATTGTCATTCATGGAGCATGTATATACCAGGCCCTTTACATCCATGGTTTCCAATTCCAGAACAACTCTATGATACTGGCAGTATTCCCACTTTCCAGGTGAGACTCACAGGTCATGGCATTTGCCATGATTTCAGTAGTTCAGATCCATCAACCCATATCTAGCTTCAAAACCCATGCTCTACTCATTGCACTAGGCAGGTCAGGATGACGCTGGTTGAGGTGGACAACTGCCGCGTAGGAAAGTACTAGGCTCTGACAACACACAATGCAGACTTTCTTTCAGAAGCTTTCATGCTAAAGTGAAAGGCAATTTTCTTAATTAATGGCAACCCTGTCTACTCTCCTCATTACTTTTCTCTCCTGTTTTCCCCCTGAGTGAAGAGGATTTTCCAAAGAAGATTGATAGGAAACAAAGGTCTTCAACTCCAGAGAAGTTTCCAATTTGTGATTATTTTGAAGAAAGGCTTAGACTCTAGAATATAGCTCAACATGAGTGCTCCTGGGCACTGGAAAATTCTACAGAGACCACAGTTCCCTAGGAAGGAGGCAGTATGCAACAGCAACTGTGTGGGCTTCCAGCACACAGAACTCCAAACATGTTCTACTGTCTCACTCTCTTAAATGAGATGCAGAAGATCAGCAGACATTTGACGAATCTCTGTCTTTGAAGCTTGAGGACAAACACCCTAGTGATGTAAATTACTGGGAGAATGGAAGGCATCAGGAATAATTACATAAGGGAGCTCAGCTTTAAGAAAGCTAAATTCTCTTGAAAGAACTTAATAGAGAATGAGTAAACCTCAAACAGCAAAAAACAGCATCAGTACTAGCATGGTATTAGAAGCAGGGTCTTAATCCCAGAAGAAAAATCTAGAATTTCAGATAAAAAAACAAGGCCCAGCTAATTGCTGCCTACCAGGCACTCATTCAGCTTTAAAGACACATGTATGTTCAATGTAAAGGGATTGAAGATACTCTATGCAAGTGGAAACCAAACAAACTGTATAGTTATATCAGAAAAAATAGACTTTAAGCCAAAAATGGTAACAGAGTCAAAGAAAGTTATATAATGATAAAAGGGTCAATATGTAAAAAGTGTACAAAAATCATAAGTATATATGTACCCAACATATGAGCAGCTAAATATGTTAAGTAATACTAACAGATCTGAAGGGAGAAAAGAGAACACTACAATGATAGCAGGCAATTTCAATACCTCAGTTCTAGCAATGGATAGATCATCTAGACAAAAAATCCACAAAGAAACTTTGGAATTGAACCACACTATGGCCAAATGGTTTTAAAAGACATATTAGAACATTTTATTCAACTGTGGCAGAATGCACATCCTTTGCAAGTCCACACAGATTATTCTCCAGGATAGATCCTATGATAGGACACAAAACAAGTCCTAGCAAACTTAAGATTTAAATCATAGCAGCTATCTTTTCCAATGACATGAAATAAAAAACAAGAGGAAACTTGGAAAATCTACATATATGTGGAAATTAAACATACTTCTGCATGGCCAATGGGTCAAGGAAGATAAGAATATGAAAAAACACAAAATGGGGAAAAGTGAACCCTTAAAGCTAATGGAAATGGAAACAAACAGCGAAACCTATAGAATGCTGCAGAAGCAGTTCTGAGAGGAAAATGTACAATGAGAAATGCACATATTAAGGAATTAGCAAAATATCAAAATATTTTACTTTACATGTCCAGGAACTGGGGATAAAAAGAACAGATGAAGCCCAAAGTTAGCAGAAGAAACAAAATAATAAGGTGCTGAAGTAAATTAGGATGAAAAGAGGAGACTTGCAACTGCTACCCCAGAAATAAAGTCATAAACTACTCTTAATAATTATATATCAACATATTAGATAACCTAGAGCAAATGGATGAATTCCTAGAAACACACAACCTGCCCAAACAGAAACATGAAGAAGCATAAAATCTGAATAGACCTATTGACCTGAATAGACTCAGTAAAGAGATTGAATCAGTAATCACAAATCTCCCAAAAGAGAAAAGCCTAGGACTAGCTGGTTTTTCAGAGGTTAAGGTGACCAAATATTTAATGAAGAGTTAACACCAATCCCCCCCAAACTCCTCCAGTTTCATTCTATGATGCCTGCATTTACTCTAATATCAAAGCCAGACTAATACTACAAGTACAGATCAATATCCCATATGAGCATGGATGCAAAAGTCCTCAACAAAAAAATCTAGCAAACTGAATTTAGCAGCATGTTAAAAGACTTATATTCCATGACCAAGTAGGATTTACGGTTTATTTCCACAAGGGAAACCTGGTTGTTCAATGCAAAAAAAAAAAAAAAAAAAAAAAAAAAAAAAAAATCAATGTAATTAACAGAATAGAATTAATAGATCAAAAAACAAACTACACTCTCATTCCAATTGACATAGAAAAAGCATTTGATAAAATCCAACATAATTCCTTCATAAAAACACTCTTTTTAGGAATAGGAAAAAAGCCTATGATACACATAATAGGGGCCATATATAAAAAACTCACAGCTAACATCTCAGTGGTGAAAGACTAAAAGTTTTCCCTAAGATCAAAAGTAATACCAAAATGCCAAGTTTCATCATTTCAACTCAATGGAATATTGGAAGTTCTAGCCAGATCAATTAGATAAGGAAAAGAAATGAAGATATCCAAATTGAAAAGGAAAATCTAAAATGGTTTCTGTTTTTGGGTGATGTGATCTTACATGTAAAAAACACCATAGATTCCACACACAAAAATACTGTTTGGCTAAGAAAAGGATTCAGCAAGGTTGCAGGATGCAAAATTAACATATAATAACCAGTTACATTTTGATATACACTAACCACGAACATTCCAAAAAGGAAATTATGAAAACAAATCCATTTACAAATTATCAAACAGAACAAAATACTTATGAATAAATTTAACCAAAGAGGCAGAAGACTAGTATACTGAAAACCGTAATCCATGCTGGGAACAATTTAAAAAGACACAAATCATTGGAAGGACATCACATATTCATATGGAATCTTAAGAGACATCAAATAGTTAAAAAAAAAAAGTCTTGGGGCTACTGGGTGGCTCGGTGGGTTAAGTGCCCAGCTCTTGGTTTGGCTTGGTCATGACCTCAGAGTCCTGGGATGGAGCCCTGCAGGCTCTGCCCTCAACTGGGATATTTCCAAATAAGGAAAAATCTTTTTTAAAAATCTTGGATAAAAACAAAGTTTGTGGACTCATATTTCCTGGTTTCAAAGATTTATTACAAAGCTATAATAATCAAAATAGTGTAGTGCTGGCACAAGGACAGACACATAGATTAATGAAATAGAATAAAGAGAACAAATAAACCCTCATATATATGTTCAACTGATTTTTGACAAGGATGTACAAGATTATTCAATGTGGGAAAGGACGCTATTTTCAACAAATGGCGCTAGGAAAACTGGATGTCCACACGCGAAATAATGTAGTTGGGCTCTTGCCTTACACCTATACAAAAATTAACCCAAATGAATAAAAAACCTAAATGTAAGAGCTAAAAATATTAAACATTTAGAAGAAAATACAGAGGAAAAGCTTCATGATGTTAGATCTGGTAATGGTATTTTGGATATCACACCGAAAAATAGGCAATAAAAGAAAAAATAGCTAATCCAGACATTGAAATTAAAGACTTTGTGCAAATGATACTATCCAAAAAATGAAAAGAAAACCCACAGAATGAGAGGGAACATTGGCAAGTCATATATCTGAAAAGGGATTGATATCTAGAGCATACTAGGAACTCCACAACTCAACACAAAAATCAAACAACTCAATTCAAAAACGGGCAAAGGACTTCAACAGGGCATTTCTCCAAAGAAAATATACAAATAAAAGATAGTGGAGGGGTAGTGGGCGCTAGTTTGGTCCCTCAAATACACCCAGATAGTTATCTGACCATTCTGAAAACCCAATAAATCAATCAATCAGAGATCTGAGAAAAGAAATGCTGCGAGTCTATAAGTAGCAAAGTGACCACCTCTTGGAAGGTAGGAGGTGCAAGGGCCTGAATCCGGGGAAATACAGCTGAAGACCGCGAGTGGGGCGAGCTACCACCAAGCACTCCAAGCAGCGGAGTGCAAAATCACAACCTTGAGAAGTCGGCTGCAGTGGGGAGCAGGCTTAAGCACCCTGGCTTAGAGGGCTCCGGTGCTCAGGTGGTGACTTGGGGCAGAATCCCAGGTGTGACAGTGCGGTCTCAGGATCCCTGAGGTCACAAGAATAAGCTGGCTGAGTGCAGCACAGTCCCCGGCGTCCACGTGGGGAAGCCGGCAAGGGACAGTGAGTCTCAGGGCCGGCTTCCTGCTCTGTGACCCTTAGCCTGCAAACCACTGCATGGCTGTGTGGCCACTCTCCCGGGAAGGGTCCTGCAAAAGGCAGAAGTGAGGCAATACCCTCCCCC